GAGACAGAGTCTCACTCTTGCTCTCGGTAGAGTGCAGTGGCATCATTGTAGCTCACTGCAGCCTCTAACTCCTGGGCTCAAGCAATCCTACTGCCTCAGCCTCCCGAGAAGCTGGGACTAGAGGCACATGCCAACGTGCCCAGCTGATTTTTTTCTATTTTGAGTAGAGACGGGGTCTCACTCTTGCTCAGAGCTGGTCTCAAATCCCTGACCGCGAGCAATCCTCCCGCCTCAGCCTCTAGAGTGTTAGGATTACAGACGTGAGCCACTACACCTGGCACCCCCCCACACATATATAAAAAATATATATATACACACACACATATATGAATACAACATACACACATACACACATATAGTATGAGCACAACAGACTAGATTTGTATAAGACAAGAGTGGTGGGATCAGGGCCACGTGGAAAGCTTGTGCCCTGTCTAAATTGGTGCCATGTGAAAATAGGGCAAGGTATTGCCAATTTTCTGATTTTTTATGGGAAAAAAATCTTCATACAGTGTTTTTTTTTAAATTTTGGGAATATATATGTATGCATATACAGTCCATATGTATTACATGAATTATATCCAATCCATATGGATATGTTAGTTGGTAACAACAAAGTAAATAAAAAAAATTTATAAAAACTGCAAGACAAACAAAAATCCAGGCCCTCCATTTGTAACCTTGGCTATAAGCATTTACTTAGCCAGGGGTTTTTAGAGGATTCTCTATGAGTCTGTGAAAAGCTTAAGAAAACGAAAATGTACATAATGTCAAAGAATGAAATCGTGGGAACAATTTAGATTTTGTTACAAAATCTTAAGTATTTTTTAAAATAACCTTTCCATACTTCACATTTTGTTCTGTAGAGTTCAACCTTTTAACTTCCATGTAGAGTTGAATCTTTTAACTTCTCCTTTAAAGAGGCTCTTTCAAGCAACATTCCATGACTCTTGCTCTGATCAGCCTCCCTCGAAAAAAACCCTTTTTCTTTTAAGAAACAGGGTCTCACTCTGTTACCCAGGCTAGAGTGCAGTGGTGTGATCATAGCTCACTGTAGCCTCAAATTCCTAGGCTTGAGCAATCCTCCCACCACAGCCTCCTGAGTAGCTGGGACTACAGGCAGGCACCAACATGCCTGGCTAATTTTTTAAAGTTTTGTAGAAATCAAGTCTTGCTGTTGTCGAGGCTGATCTCAAACTCCAGGCCTCAAGCAATCCTCCTGCCCCAGCTTCCCGAAGTATTGGGATTATAGGCATGAGCCACCTTGCCCAGCCAAAAAAAAAAAAAAAAAAAACAACCCTTTTTCATTTCCCAACATTTTTTGGCTATGATCCTTAAATATTACTTCAAATAATTTCCAGTGAATTCACACTTGGTTGCAGAACCTGAGTTTGCTGCAGAAATATGATTTCCTCCACTGTTTATGCCTACAGGGGATTCAGAGCCATCAATTAAAACCCCAGGTCTTTTGGTTTTTAAATGTCCTTAGACAAAGAAAAAAGTCAAGAAAGATACTCTCAATTTGTAACAGCAATTTTCTTTGGAGAATGGAAATTTTGGTAGGTACAATGTGGTAGATGTCCCCATTGTAGTTTATCTACCTGGAGATTATTTGAATTTGTTACACTGAACATGTATTACTTTTATAATTAAAAGTAATTAAGATTTAAAACAACTTAATTTGACTAGTGACAAGCAAATTAGATAAATCAGTTGAATAATGATGTTCTTTTTTTTTTTGAGACAGAGTCTCACTCTGTTGCCTGGGCTAGAGCGCCGTGGCATCAGCCTAGCTCACAGCAACCTCAAACTCCTGGGCTCAAGCGATCCTCCTGCCTCAGCCTCCCGAGTAGCTGGAACTACAGGCATGCACCACCATGCCTGGCTAATTTTTTCCATATATTTTTAGTTGTCCAGCTGATTTCTATTTTTTTTTTTTTTTTAGTAGAGATGAGGTCTTGCTCTTGCTCAAGCTGGCCTCGAACTCTTTGAGCTCAAACAATCCGCCCGCCTCGGACTCCCAGAGTGCTAGGATTACAGGCGCGAGCCACCGTGCCTGGCCAAATAATGATGTTCTTTAAGAGGCTGTTTAGCACTGATTTGGCCAAACTAATAATCAAAGTTGGATTCTATTTGAATTATTTGGAAATTAGTAATTGTGTTACTCTCTGCCTTGTTTTCTGAAATCCTTTCTTTAAAAAACTTACTTATACACATAATAACAGTTCATAAAACTTTGTTGTCCTTTTCCTCCATAGAAATAAATATATACAAACTGAGAAATAATTCTGACATTCTTCATTCCTATAAAAGTAATTAAGATAGACCTATATGATTGTTGAGCTGTGCTGCCCAATACAGTAATCAATAGCCATGGGTAGCTATAAAATTAATAATTCAGTTCTCCAGTCAAACTAGTCATATTAAAGTACTCAATAGCCACTGGTGGCTAGTGGTTACTTTATTGGACAGTAGATGTATTCCATCATTATAGAAAGCTCTATTGGACAGCATTGGTCTAGGCCATGTATTTTATATTCTTCTCTCACCCACCATCCAATAACGAATAATAGTTCACAGTAAAAGTGACTCAATTTGAAATTACTTTTTTCACTAGTTTGCTTAGTTGATTACTGTCAAAATCATGGGTCTATAAAATTCACTTATCGCCAACTAAGATCAGGGGAGTTTCATGGGAGAATTCACATAAACTGTTCATTAAAAACCTTAGAATCATGGACTCTCGTGATTTCTGTTTGATTCTCTGCGGATCATCATCAAACATAGAGAAGCCTCAACAGACTCTGGGGACTATCCATTCTCCGGTGAGCAAAATACCTAATACTAGATGGAAACCAGCTGTAAGTACTAGGACTTCATTTGCAGATTGATTTTTTGGTGTTGTCATGAGTCTTAAGCCCCACAGTTTGTTTTGGTCACTTTATCCGTGTAGGACAAACAATCCATTTAACTATTCATCAGAGGTGCTGTTTCTTTAAATTGTTGTGTCTTGTCTCCTTCAGTTAATATTCAGAATTAAAAATATGCTATGAGAAAAAAGTTGAAAGGGTCTCTTTATTTCTGGTGAGGCAAAGAATACTTTTGGTTTAGCCATTGATTAAGCTCTAAAAATCAATCTCTGGCTATGAAGACATAATACAAAGTCTATATTTAAAAGATATGCTGGGCAGGGCACAGTAGCTCACGCCTGTAAGCCTAGCACTCTGGGAGGCCGAGGCAGGAGGATTGCTTGAAGCCAGGAGTTTGAGATAAGCCTGTGCAAGACCAAGAGCCCATCTCTACTAAAAATGGAAAAATCAGCCAGGCATTGTGGCATGCCCTTGTAGTCCCAGCTACTGGGGAGGCTGAGGCAGGAGGATTGCTCCCAGCCCAAGAGTTTGAGGTTGCTGTGAGCTGTGATGATGCCACTGCACTCTAGCCCAGGCAACAGAGCAGGACTCTGGCTCAAAAAAAAAAAGAAAAATTGCTGGTTCCATCTCCCCATTTTTAACTCTTCTCTAATCTCTATTTTCTTATTAAATAAAACTAACGCCTCTTCGATAGGCCAAGTCCCAGGAAGTACAGACATTGTTTTTAGCATTCCAGCTGTCACTGGGGGTAGAAGAGAAACCCTCTGTAGTTTCAGGCTCCCAAATACTTCTGTATCTTATATATTCAATACTTGAAATACTCTTTGTTACAAAGAGCTAGTATTATCAAATGCTAATTCTATACAGCTGGCCATAGAATTTATCTGATAAAAATTGGTTACTGAGCTGAATTTTATTTTACTGATATCATTTATCTCAAAATAACTTTTCTGATGTTGTCCACTTAGAGATCTCCAAACTGGTGTTAGAAGTCAGGCCTCAGTAGTAGCTGAGCTTGAATTCCTTTCTGTTGGTCCATGTTTTTGGCCTGGATACAGAAACTCTTAAGTGGAGCTACAAAGTGAAAATACAACAGCTAAGATCCTGAAAAGCTCTGCAGCTAACTTCTGTGCATCAATACATTAAGTAACCTAGTGTTTTCTATGTGGCTGGTGATTGGAACTGAAAGTGCTATTAGAACTGAGGACAATTATAATGGCTTTTTGCTTAGACATACCATGATTTTTATAACATAATAAGGAAAGGAAACAAATCTAAAACAGGATAAGAAAAGAAGAATCATATCCACCTCCAACAACATAAAGTATGAATGGAGGGCAATGGATTATTTTTAGTTTTAATTTTAGTTAAATGATTAGACATTGTCTTAGTGTTTTCTGTCTGCCATAACAGAATACCATAGGCTGGTGCTAACAACAGAAATTTATTTCTCACAATTCTGGAGGCTGGGAATTCCAAGATCAAGGTACTTGTAGATTTGGTATCTGGTGAGAGCCCACTCTGATTCATAGATGGTTGTCTCCTGCCTGTGTCCTCACATGGCAGAAGGGGCAATGGAACTGTCTGGGTTTCTTTTATAAGGGCACTAATCCTATTGTTAAGGCCTTCACCCTCCTGATCTATCACCTCTCAAAGGCCGCCCCCCTCCAAATATTATCACATTGAGGATTGTATTTCAACATCTGAATTTTGGGGGCACACAGACATTCAGTCTATTGTAGACATTAAATAATGTTTAAATAAGAATCTAGGGAAAATTCTAGCCAATAATACAACTGAGCCACAGAGTAAAACTTATAAGACTTTAATAAAGAACAGTGAAAATATTCCCTGTAGTATGAAAATGATAGTATTTATGCACTGAAAACACATCCTTGACAATAGTCATTGTTTGGTTTTGAAGTATGGTAGCATAATCCTCTCAAAGAATATTTCTGATGTAAAAGGAATTAGCAGTGTGTGGAAAAGGTATATTCTATTCTCTCTCCTAGTTATGCCCCAAGTTTGTATACTTTTAATTTCTTCTCAATGAAACTACTGAGAAAATAGAAAACAGAAATAGTGGTAGTGAGCCAGATATAAAAAACTTCCAATGAAGACCTTAAGAAATAACTTTAAATAGAACATATTTACACTCTAGCCATAATCCTGGTACTTGGTAAATATAGGTTTGTTGGCTTATTTTTCCTTGACCCATTAAAATTCTCAGAAGCTTCAGAAGATGTGATCCTCCAGAATTTCAAAGTATTTTATTTGCTGAAGAATGGATTTCACTACTAACCTTATTTGTTTCATATTCTGTTGGCTACTTTACCAATATAAATTTAGTCCGCATAAATAAAAAAAAATGTTTTCATAGCAGCAAGTCTATATTGATTATTATGAAGTTTGCTTTCAAGGAGATTTGATGCTCCATCGTGATTAAATTATCTTCTCCCAAAGTAACTTCATTTGCAAAATGTCAGTAAAGTTCATAACTTTCTATTAAAATTCAAGCCACTCTGTCATGTAAATACAGTTAGATGGTGAAATCTCACCACCTTCATGGCAGTCATCAAACACCTTTAAAAAAAGAAAAAACAGTTTATATTCAAACTAAAGTTTTAAAATATCTAAGGCCCAAACACCCATTTAAAGCAATATTAAAAACAAAGTTTCAAATTGAAAGGGATTAGGACTGTATTTAAGAACATATTATAATGGGGCCTGCTTTGAGATCTAAAGCTATGAGAGGCCTTTTACGGTGGCATTAAGATGATCATGTTCACCTGCCAACTGGGCAAAAGGCTAACGGCAGGTAACACAGGAGTACAGGCAGGGAGATCTATACATATGAATGAATGAATTTTCACTAATTCAATGTTTCATGTTTAGCTACCTTCCATTTTGTGAAGTGTGCTAAATAGAATCCCCAACATGTTGGCCTTTTATCTGAGTTGAAAGCAGGGCATGGAGAGCTTAGGCACATAGACAAGGGCCAGAAACAAAGCACAGACTAGCAGCCTGAGAATATAAATGCCATGAGGACTGGGACAGTGTTTCCGGCTCTGTGTTGTGTCCTCAGTGCCTACAGCACAGAGTTGACACTCATAACCTATCTGGGGACAGATGAATGCATAGTGCTGGGGCATGCTGTAGGGGAAAGATGTGATCTCGGAGTTTGAATCCTGGTTGTTTCTTCTAAGCTGTATGCTCTCAGGTCTTCCTAAGCTCCCTCATTCTTAAGGGGAAATAACACCACTAGCTTTAAGGACAAAGGAGGATTAAATGAGACCACCTATGAAAGTCATCAGGGACACACCTGGCCCATGGCAGGTTCTCAACAAATCTCATTTCCCTCCCTCATCACAAAGTGTCCATTTCAGGGCCAAAAGCAGAAAATGGCAAATGTCTTTAACCTGGTTATTCCAAAAAAGAAGGTAAGGCAATGATTTGTTCATTAAATGTTCAGACAGACATTTAATGAACAGGTTACATGGAGGTTTGAGCAGCTCTTGGTCAACTCCAATGTGAGAAAACCAGGGTGTGCGTGCTCTGATTTCTTTATGTGGCATTTGCACCTGGCAGTCAAGTGTAAAGTGAAGCCACTTTAACTCACCGGGCAGAGTCCACAGGGTGCCCGGACCAAACCTGTGGGCGGGATGATGGGATTGACTGCCCTGTACAGCTTCATGTGTCCGTCTACACTGCCAACTGTACCTTCTTTTGCAGCAATGATAGTCATCTCCACTTTCCCATCATAAATGAGTGTATTCAGGATAGTTTCAATGTCCTCCATGGACAACTCTACCTAAAAAGGGGATACATTAGAAAGGACACAAAAAGGACAAGGAGACATCCATTTGGAGGGTGTTACAAACAGTAAAGGGTCACAATTCTATGGTGAAATGGGGGAAGCATTATGCTAGAGAGGAATGAACAACAGTCAAAGTTAACATAAACCACTGACATGTTAGGGACAGAAATCTCATGCTGAGTTTGACACTTTCTAATGTCCTCAACTCCTAAGTAAAATGTAGAAGTCTTATAAGGTAATGGTGGAGATTTATAAAATGCTTGAGCAGAAAGGTACTTTAGACATCAGATAGTCCAAGTTCCTAGTTCTTTATAAATGAGTAATCTGGGGCCTAGGAAATGAAAATGACTTGTCCAAGTGGCCACTTTGACTTCTTCACTGTGAAAACCATCAGTGTCTTTATGTACAGGTCTTCAAAAGAACGTGCTGATAACACCATTTACATCTCTAAAGTAAGAAAATACCAATAAATGACAACTGATGTCATGACTAATATTATGCACATATGCTGAAATGTCCCTGAGAAAGTCAAGAACTTGTCAGAACAGACTTTTAAATTTGGGGAGTGAAATGCACTGCCGGGACTGCACTCTGCTGCTCTATGTCCCAAGCTCAGGAACAGTTCAGAGAGTGCCTGATGGCAGTGACTGCCTTTGCCTATGGTATACAACAGTAGCCTCCCACAGTGGGTTCTGCAGAACGTTCATAGCTATCACCTGAAAAAAAGGGTCTGGGTCAAATACATTCTGGAATACACTGTAAACTTTATGATGAAGAATAAGTTTTTAAAATAAGATGAAAATTATATGAAAAGGTTATAAACTGAATTCTGACCTTACTGATCCCCAGTTCACAGATATATTTCCACACTTCGTGTGATGAAGCAAATGAACTATTTCTTTGTATCACTGGATTCTGTTTGCTTTCTCGTGCTGTTTCTGCCTGTAAGAGTTTAAACATAAGAAATCTAAGCAAGAATTCTGGTGAGTGTTTTCTGAATACAATTTATACCAAGTTAAACCAACAGCAGAAGATATTTTGTTTAGTAAATTTCCAATTTCAGATTTTTAATTCCTATAAAATATGCTATACAGGATTAAAATCCTTTATAAAGAAACTTTTTCAAAGAAGATTTGCAGTGATGTTTCCTCAATTATGCCTCACCTTGCTTTGCAGGAATTTAAAACACTGTTGGTTAAGCACCTCTACAAATTCAGATTCAAAATCTTGGTCACTATACCAGGCTCCACCAGTCACAGATCGGTCTGGCTGCAGGTTATAGAGCATATACACCTTCTTTTTTGAGGCCTAGGAAAGAACAGCACAGTTCATGTGTTTATAATAGTTTCTAAAAACTAAATAAAAAAATAAAGTTATATATTTTGGAATGGTTTTAGAAGTACAGAATTATCACAAAGATAGTAAAGAAAGTTCTCATATACTCCGTGCCCACGTCCCCCTATTATTTACATTTTGTATTTGTGCATTACTTTTGTCACAATTAATAAACCAATACTAATACATCACTATTAACTGAAGTTCACACTTTACCCAGATTTCATCAGTTTTCCCTCAACATACTTTTCTGCTCCAGGATCCCATCTAGGACCATGCTACATTTAGTTGTCATCTCTCCTTAGGCTCCTTTTGGTTGTGACAATTTCTCAAACACTTATTTATATCAGTATGGACTCATGAGTATTTATTTTATACTTTTGAGTTACAAAGCTTCATGTTTGGAACCCTTCCAGACCTTGCCCTCTTCTGTTGCCTAGTTCTTTGTGTCCTTTATCATAAAACCATAATGGTAAGAATAGTGCTTTCCTGAATTCTGTGAGTTATTCTAATGAGTTATTGAACCTGAGGGGGTCATGGGAACCCACAAATTTGTAGCCACTTGGTCAAAGTGTGGGTGGCCTGGGCACTCCTGAACTTGTGACTGGTGTCTAAAGTGAGGACAGTCTTGGGGAAGACTGTGCCTTTCACCTGTGAAATTTGGGACTTAACTCCAGATAGTTGGAATTGCATTGCAGCCAGCATCCCCAGTCCACCTATATAAACGTTCAAGACTAGCATACTATATGTAGTGGTACCAGAATGATTAACCAGGAGCCTCATGGGAAATAAGGCAATCAGTTCAAATACAGTGAATACAGTGCTTAAGTACATTTCCTTTTGCCTTTAGTCTTACAGACACCACTTACTTCCACAGTTACTTAGGTCAGCACCTTATTCCTCTACGTTTTTCAGTGAGGTTGTCTCTTACTTTTGTAATACATTTAGTTTCTGTTGTTATATTCTGCATTCCACCCTACAATCCCCCTATCTCCTAAATGACTTTAAAAATTGGTACACATTAAGATTTCTCAGCTGGGTGTAGTGGTGTAGTCCTGCAGTCCCATCTACTCGGGAGGCTGGGGCAAGAGGATTGCTTGAGCCTAGGCGTTCAAATCCAGCCTGGGCAGCATAGCAAGACTTAGTCTCAAAAAAGAGAAAAAACAAAAGGGGAAAACCCTAGATTTACTCTTTGTGCTGTAAAGTTGTATGGGTTTTGTTTGACACATCCTCAATGCTTATGTCGTACAGAACAGTTTCACTACCCTAAAAAATATCTCCTGTGTTTCATCTATTCAACTCTCTCTATCAGCCCATCCCCAGCCCCTGGCAACTGATCTTTTTTACTGTCTCTACAGTTTTGCCTTTTCCAGGATGTCATATAGTTGGAATCATACAGCATGCAGCCTTTTCAGATTGGCTTCTTCCGCTTAGTATCATGCATTTAAGATTCATGCATGTCTTTTCATGATAGCTCATTTCTTTTTATCACTGAATAATATTCTGGTTTGTTTATCCACTCACCTATTGAAGGACATCTTGGTTGCTTCCAGTTTTTGGCGATTATGAACAAAGCAGCTATAAACATTCACATGGAGTTTTTGTGTGGACACAGTTTTCAAATCAGTTGGGTAAATAATTAGAAGCATGACTGCTGGATCATGTGGCAGGACTTTGTTTAGTTTTTAAGAAACTGCCCAACTGTTTTACAAAGCGGCTATACCATTGAGCATTATTACCAGCAATGAATGAGTGTTCCTGTTAGTCTGTAGCTTGCCAGCATATGGCATTATCAATTTTTGGATTTTAACCATTCTAATAGGTGTGTAGTGGTATCTCACTACACTAAAACAATTTTTTTTGGTTTTTTTGAGACAGAGTCTCGCTTTGTTGCCCCAGCTAGAGTGCACAGCTCACTGCAACATCAAACTCCTGGGCTCAAAGAATTGTCCTGCCTCAACCTCCTGAATAGCTGGGACTACAGGTGTGTGCCACCATGCCCGGCTAATTTTTCTATTTTTTTGTAGAGCTGGGGTCTTGCTCTTGCTCAGGCTGGTCTTGAATTTCTGACCTCAGGTGATTCTCCTGCCTCAGCTTCCCAGAGTGCTAGGATTACAGGCGAGAGTCACTGAGATGGCCCAAATTGTTATTTTAATTTGCAATTTCTATTAATTATGATAAATAATGTTAAGCATCTTTTCATATGCTTATCTGCCATCTGTATATCTTCTTTGGTGAAGTATTGGTTCAGGTCTTTTGCCCATTTCTAATTGAACTGTTTATTTTCTTATTGTTGAATTTTAAGAGTTCTTCATATAATTTTAGAAACAAGTTCTTCATCAAATATGTGATTTGCAAATATCTTCTAGTATGTAGCTTATCTTTTCATTCTTAACAGTGTCTTGTAGAACAAAAGTTTTAAATTTTAATAAAGTCCAACTTATCAATTTTTTGTCGTAGATTATACTACTGGTTTTGCATTTAAAAACTCATCAACAAACCCAAGGTCATATAGATTTTCTCTTATGCTTTCTTCAAAAGAGTTTTGCACTTTACAGTTAGTTCTAAGATTATTTTAACCCTTAAAAGGACATGGAAGTCCATCAACTGACAAATGAACAAAAGGTAGTATATATCTGTACAGTGGAATTTACAATGCAATAAAAAGGAATAAAGTACAACATGGATAAACGTTGAAACATCATGCTAAGTGAAAGAAGTCATACACAAAAGACCACATAATCTATTATTCTGTTTATAGGGAAATGTCCAGAATAGGCAAATCTATAGGGTAGAAAGTAGATTAGTGGTTGTCAGAGCTTGTGGGGAGGGAAGCTAGGAAGCAAATGCTAGTGGGGTCACATTTTAGGATGATGAAAATGTTCTAAAATTAGAACAGTGGTGATGGCTGTACAACTTTGAGAATATACTAAAAACCCAATGGTCGTATGCTTTAAAAGGATGAATTTTGTGGTATGTGATTATAGCTCAATAAAGCTGTTATTAAAAATAAAGATATAGAAGGAAGATAGGGAAAATGAGGCTAGGTGATAGATACATGGGAATTCATTATATTATTTTCTCTACTTTTGTATATATTTTTTAAAATGTGGAAGAGAAATGCTATTCTAAATTAGGGAAGTAGTAAGATATAAATATCATTTGATAAATAAAATCACTAATGAACATCAAATTCTTACATGCTGAAATTTGTGTTCAAGAAAACTTTTTTTTTTTTTTGGATATAAGGTCTTGTTCTGTTGCCTCGGCTAGACTGTAGCAGTGCGATCACAGCTCATTATAACCTTGAACTCCTGGGCTTGAGTGATCCTCCCATCTCAGCCTCTCAGTAGCTGGGACTGCAGGTGCATGCCACCACACCTGGCTAATTTTTAAATTTTTTGTAGAGATGGGGACTTGCTACATTGCCCAGTTTGGTTTCAAATTCCTGGCCTCGAGCAATCTTCCCACCTTAGCCTCCTTAGTGCTGAGATTACAGGAATAAGCCACCATGCCCAGCCCAAGCAAACTTTATTCCAGGGGAATCTCAGCTCCTCTGACATCTAAATCAGTAAGGTAAGTGGCAGATGTCCCTGATCAAGATAGCTCTGGAGCATGGAGCCCGAGAATGTGGAGGGGTGGGGTGGGATGAGGAGGAAGAAACACACCGATGTACTGGAAACAAAGCTCCACCAGGGCAAGGATCTTTCTGACTTGTTCACTAATGTATCCTAAGCACCCAGAACCATGTGGCACACAGCAAACACTCAACAGGTATTTGTTGAATGTGTGAGCTAATGAGTTCGGATAAATTATTTTACATACTACAAAATCTAAGAAAAATGTTCATGACTCCAAAAATTGTTCAATGAAGAGAGTAAAGGAGTTTTAGGTTTTTTGGTGGGTCAGACACCAAGAGTTAACAAGGTAGTGGCAAATCTAAGCAGCATATCCAAACCAATCCAATATAAGCTAATTTTTTAAAAGTCTTTTTTGACCAGTTATTTTAAATCACAGCATAGCTTTCAAGAATAAAAACTTGAAATACACTTGAAGCAACATATGTAAGTGAATATTCCAGGGAAGAACTACTCACTGCTACTGACTTAACAGCTTTAATAAGCTTTTTACTTTCCAAATTCTTCAGAATTTTGTTGATTTCTGTTAATGGCAAGTTACTTTTGTATCGGATATCTCTGCTCCATATTCCTATGAGAAAGTAAAGTAAATTAAGTTGAACTATGGTGTTCCTGGATTTTTATTTCTATTCAGACAGCTTACATCTTATTACAAAACTAGCAAAATTAAGCTAACAGTAAAAATTAAATGACTTAGAGGTAAGAACCTTGGCTAAAGTAGCAAAAGTATGCAAAACAATAAATAAGTCATTTGTTTTATATTCTAACTGGAAATTTCTTGGAATCCCAGTGTGATACATTTTAAAAAATCCTTGAAAAGGATGTTTTTGTAATGGAAGAAAAAATAATGAATACTATCGAATTAACTATGTCATCTCTTCTATCTTCTCCTGTACCCTAATCTGTTTTCTGGTATTTTCACTTTAGATTGTAAACATAAAAAACAAACTTAAATTTGGGTCAGGGTCAACTGCCATCCTTAACCGGGAGCAAGAAAACCCTTTTGCATGCATGTAATCCATTATTTATACAACACTATATTTGTGAGATGGAAAAAGGAAGTCTAGTTCTTACAGCTGCTAAAAGCCATGCATGGGAAGCTATGATTTTTCTTTCAAAGAAGGAAGTAAGTGTTATATGTGGAAAGGGAACGTATGTAAAAATATTTTCCTTTATTTACTTCCCAAGGTAGAGGCATAACGAGATAAGAAGATTTAAAAAAAAATACAGAATGGCTTTCTCATAGGACATGTTATATTTATTAACATTTTAATAAATATAAGAATTAATTTCAGACTATATCATAATTTTTCAAGTTAGTATCAATGACCCAAATAGATCCTAAATCATAATAAGTACAATTATATACAGTTCCTCAAGGGAGATAGAAGGTGAACCACAGCTGCTGAGGGGCATCTCTCGAGACATTGCTACTGTGTACTAGGTATCCCTCAGGGGTCCTTGCAAATACCAGGTGTTATTATGCATAATTTATAGATAAGATGAAGAAACTGAGGCTCACAAAATTTACGTAACTTGCCGACATCATATAGCTAGAAAGTAAGGATGTTTTTAAAAAATTAAGTATTTATTTATTTTGAATAGATAATACATTCATGTGGCTCAGAATTCAGAAGTCTTTTTCCAACACTGGCTATGGCTGTCTAGTTCCTGCCCCTTTCGAGGTAACAATGCCATCACTCTTGGGTATCCTTCAGGCACATACATGCATGTTACATATGTGTGCTCTGTTCCTGTCTTCCCTGTTTTACACAAATGGCAGCACACTCTACACACCGAGCTCTACCCTGGGAAACTGGGGTTTCAGTCCCTATATCTAGGCCCAAAGACAATGTTTTTTTCTGCTTTACCCTTCACATGCTTACCTTTATTTCCTGCATCCTCTATGATTTGATATACTAGTTTTTCTTGGTTATCTGATCCCTTCATTTTACTGCAGAGAAATAAAACAGAATTAAAAAGGCAAAGAGGCACAGGATAATCTAACAATCTACATGACTACTTAAATGAATTAGCAGACAAGGTCACCACAGTGACATATTTACCAAAAGAAGGGCTTACCTTAAAAAGAATGAGACAGAGCTGTGTGTATCAACATGAAAAGATGTCCAAGATACAGTAAGTGAAAAAAACAAGTTGCAAAACAGTATGGATAGCATGATCCCATTTTTGTTAAAAAAAAAAAAAGAGAGAGATTATATATAAATATATAATCATCTATGTGTATTTATATATCTAGAAGAAAGGATATATACCAAGTTATTAAGAGCAGTTACCTCTGGGAAATGGAATGTATTATAGGACACAGGGATGATATGCAGGACAGGTTTACATTATGCGATTTGTATTAGCATATATATATTACTTTGTAATAATTAAAATTTTCTTAAAATTAAAAAAGTAAGTGCTTACCCAGCATTCTGAGAGTCTTTTATTCTATATAAAAGGCCTGTATTGCTCCTTAAGAGATCCAACTGACCCTGAAGTTTTAAAAATTGAAAAGAAGAGTCAATTATTTTGGGGCTATCTCAAATCCAATGACAAATGTTAATGCATTAATATTTTTATTACACAGATTAAAATATTCTACTTCCCACAGTTATTTGTCAGTTCCTCACTTCCAACTTACGTTTTTGCTTATATATCACATAGAATGTATTTTTCAAAACCTAGCTCGTTATCTTAAAATTTTTCAAAATAGCAATATTAACAATTTCCCATATGCTAGATCATGGCTTAGTTACATGATCAATACATAAAGAATTTTTAAAAAGCAGCTTTAGAATAATAAATAAAAATCTATATTCAAATTCAAATCCAAATTAAATATATACAATATAAAAATATAATTTGTATAAATAAAAACTTCAAATAAAGGCTAAACATGCATAGATATTCTGCTGCACAACAGCTAAATAAAATTTATAAAGTTAATGGTGACATCTACTGATATGCATCATTTTTATTGTTACATGAAAATTAGGCATATAAGTCACCCACTGAATAAAAGGACTACAGTAGTACTGTTTTTTATATAACAAATCAAAAATAAAATAAAGCATGTATTGTCATGTTTCTAAATTTCCTTGGGTCTGAACTTAGGAGAACCCAGATGGCTGTATCATTGGGCTTCTGGCAGTTCTCAAAAGCCATGTTGAGAGGGGCCCCATTCTCATGTGTTAAGACTGGACAGACTTACGACCTGGAAACTGGTTTACATACTAGATGAACAGTGACACCCTCCATCCATTCCCCAAGTGATAAAGTGGGACCACAAAGCTCAATTTGGAGGCTCCATTCAGTCATTTATTCAGCCAATGAACATTTACCGAATGCTTGTTCTGTGCCAAGGCGTTATGGTAGGTGTTCAGGGGAACAAACGTGAATTCTAAAAGGGAAATATACAGTTAACGCCAATCATTTGGTTGGCATTAAGACAGAGGTAAGTAAAGGGTGGATGGGCACTCAGAGAAGAGGCTGTGGCCCAATCCTGGGGTGTAGGGTGGTTTCCTGGAGACAATGGAGAGCTCAGTCCCAAAGGATAACAAGGAGTTAGTGAGTCTGTAAAGACAGGGAAGAAGAAGAGCCTTCAGATCAGGGAGGACAGTGTGAGCCAAGGCCCTGAGGCATGAAACAGCACGATGTGGCAAGAAACCAAAAACAATCTGTTGTTCCCTCTGAAGCATAACTTTTGAGGCAGAGTGGTGGAGGATATGAAGCTGGCAAGGAAGGCAGGGGCTCAGTGTGGTAAACCCAGGAGTTTGAGTTTGAATCTCCGGTACTGACAGATTTTAAGTGGTAGAGTGACTTGGTCAGACCTGCATTTAAGACAGATCAGGCTGGCTTCTCTGAGGCAGATGGAGTCAGGAAAGCCAGTTAGGATGCTACTGCAATAGTCCAGGTAAAAGCCAAGAGCTTGGACACATGCAGCAGTAGTAGGAATGGAAATGGGGGAACAAATTTGAGAACTGTTTAAAAAAGTCAAAACACTTTGTGATTTATTAATAATCACTCCCTTGCTTAATACCCTTTGGGGCTGGGCGCAGTGGCTCACGCCTGTAATCCTAGCACTCTGGGAGGCCGAGGCGGGAGGATGGCTCGAGGTCAGGAGTTCGAGACCAGCCTTAGCAAGAGCGAGACCCTGTCTCTACTAAAAATGGAAAGAAATTAGCCGGACAACTAAAAATACACAGAAAAAATTAGCCGGGCATGTTTGGCACATACCTGTAGTCCCAGCTACTTGGGAGGCTGATGCAGGAGGATCGCTTGAGCCCAGGAGTTTAAGGTTGCTGTGAGCTATGCTGACGCCACAGCACTCTAGTCTGGGCAACAAACAGAGCAAGACTCTGTCTCAAAAAAAAAAAAAAAACCCTGTGGGAGCTCTACCACTGCCTATATCCTATAGCCAATAGGACTGGCAGTGGACAAGCGATTGCAGAGGTGGCAAAAGGGAGGGAGGTGCTAAGGATGATTTTCAGTCAGAAAGGAAAGAGCTGCATGGGTGGTCAGAGGACAAAAAGGAACATTTTGCACTGCCACAACCTCCCAGAATCCCTTCCTCCCTCTTTCCTGGAGCTGAAGACCTTCACCACAGTGAAATGACTAGAAATCACGAAAACTCTTTTTGCTTGTTTTTATAAATAAAGTTTTATTAGAACATAGCTATACTCTTTGATTTATCTATCAACGTCCATGGCTGCTTCTTGCTAAAGTGACAGAATTGGGTAGCTGTGACAGAAACCATATGGCCCACAAAGCCTAAAACATATGCTATCTGGCACTTTACAGAAAAAGTTTGCCAACCTCTGAGCTAGAGGGTTGAAGGGAATGGTTTAACAAAAGGTTCACCTGTCCCCAAATCTCCATATCCAGAGCCTTAAGAAATCCAACAAGGCTGGTAGATTTAAAAAATAAATCAGTCATTCAGATGAGGTCTTAGTGTGGAACACTTTCACCTGATCGCTACTAAAACCAAACTGAAATGCTCTCAGGAAACAGGAGTTTTGTTTTGATAATGGGGGAAAGGAAGGAGAAATAAATTTAGAGCAAGGGGTACCACTAGGTGGGTTTTTAAACAGTTTTTTTTGTTTTGTTTTGTTTTTGGACAGCTGGAGGACAATGACATTAGGGTCCCAGGTTCTTAAGACAGAAGAGGTAAGAGCAGGTAGAAGGGCTTCACTGAAAAACCCTACTGTAATGTCACTGTGGGCTGAAGCTACACTTCTTCCTAAAGGCCCAGCACTACTGTCTTTCAACTGGACTCCTTCCTGCTTCCTGAAATGCTTATAATGACAATGTGGAAAGTGATACCTTAATGAATGGGCTCTGTGATGACTCACAGAAAAATCAGGAGGGAGATATTTTATAAGGAATGGCCCAAAACCAGCAGTAGGAAGCAAACAGAAGGTGAGAACAGAGTAACTGTGTACCCTTATGTATCTTAGTGGCAATTTGGTTAACAAATACAACAGTTGTAACAAAATACATTTATTTCATTTGTCTCATAAAAATGATACATAATTACTTCTTCTTTTCTCAATTCAGGCAGTCTGAGCTGTTTCCTGGTTTGGAGTCTTATCAGTCAAACCTAATACACTTTCTGGTTTTATGACTACTATATCAGTCAGAGTTTTCCAAAGAAACAGAACCAATAGGATGGATAGATAGATAGATAGACATACATATCTACATATATATGTGGAGAGAGAGGGAGAGAGAGAAATACATTTATTTATAAAGTATTTGCTCATGTGATTATGGAGGCTGAAGGAGTCCCGTGATCTGCCCTCAGCAAGCTGGAGACCCAGGAAAGTTGGTAGCGTAGATCAAAGGCCTGAATGCCAAGAGCCAATAGTGTAGATTCCAGTCCAAGTCTGAAAGTCTGAGAACTAGGAGTGCTGATGGCAGAAGATCCACATCCAAGCTCAGGCAGTCAGGCAGAGAGCAAACTCAACTTCCTCCACCATTTTGTTCTATGCAGGCCCTGAAGAGAGTGGATAATGACCGCCCACAATGAGGCCGCATCTGCTTTACTCAGTTTACCAATTCAAACACTAATGAATTGAAACATCCTCACAGACACTCCTAGACATAATGTTTAACTAGATATCTGGGAATCCCATGTCCCAGTCAAGTTGACACATGAAATTAACCATCACAACTACACAATAGGGCACAATGACAATCACAGAACATAAGTAATTATGCAAACTAATTGGGTTCACCTTACCATGGACAATAATCTATTAATGGCCACTGCCCGCTGCTGGGCTTCTATATGAGGCATTTCATTCTGAATTACTTGGTCTGTAATTCCATGAGGGAACTGGTGACATAATTCTATAATCCTAGAAGCAAAGGCATTAATGTTATTCTTCACGTTTACCTGTTTCAAGAAGGATTAGGGGAAAAATAAAAGCAGAATAGTTTGAAATTGTGCCTTTTTCACATTTGGCAGATAATCTGGGCTTCTATGATGTTTTTCAATCAAAGTATGTTAGAAATTGAGGAAGACGATTTCTAAATACATGTTTACGTTATTATTGTTATTTAAGGAGAGTATTTGTTTTCCTCACTAATATAAACTTTAGAGCAAAAGTCTAATGAAAACAGAAAAATATTAAAGCTGAGACTTCAACGTTCTTAGATGAAATAAATATGACAAAGTTAAGCCATAAATCAGTAAGCAGGAGACAAATGCAGACACCTCTGGTGGGAAGCCAAATTTTTTTATGACAATTCACCACAATGATGGTCTGCTTATGGAATTATCCCTACCAAACAAAAATGAGTCCAAATATTCACCTTGTCAATAGGATCAATATATACTATTCATAAAGTTTGAGAAAGTCGGGTCTTTTAAAACTATGTGATAACCTAAGAATAGCAGTGCACTGGTAAAGAATATCAAACTAAGAGGGGCTTTAGGTGTCCTAAAAGTCTTGAGTTCAGTGTTGCACTGAAATCATCTGGCTTAACGTTGCTTCGTCATCACAAACTGCACCCTAACTCTGCCCAACCATTTTGTCATGAGAGATTCCTTAGTGACAAAAGAGAACCTGAATCAGAACATGTATCCACCAGTACTACGGGAAAAAAGCCGAGGGTCCTCTCTCAAGGCATTGATCACCTCAACGTAGCAAAGAAGAGCAACATCGCAACCTCCCCAAAAGCATCAGGGCAAAGCCAGATACACAAAGTTGCAAGCGGGCAAACCCGTTTTGAAAGTCCTAAGCGTTCTGCTTTCCAAGAGCGGGAGTAGGCGAGGGTCCGAACCCCTCAATCTCTTTCCCGCGTGTTCATCCAACTCGCTCCGGCCTCTCCTAAGGGCTCCGGGAGAAGGGGTCCGGCTGCCCAAATGACCGCCGCCGGCGGGGTGTCCGAGCCAGGAACCGAGCCTCCCTGGTTTACCTGTTTTCTATTTCCACCGGATCCGCGTCGGGCGGTTGCACCTTCACTTTCACCTCAGCCATGAGGGCTCAGTTCCCGACTCCCGGGGGAAGAGACGCACCAAGTGGCGAGATAGTGAGCCGGGGAGCCCCGGGAACCAATGGAAGACAGAGCTCGGTCCGCGCTAGGGACTTTTTGTCGTGTCGCAGCTGGTCCTTCGTTGTAGGCTTGAGGCGGCCAAGCCGCGCCTGCACCGCCCCACTCTCCGGAGCCACTGCAGCTTCTTATTCTTGTTTTCCAGAATGTCAATGCCTGTCGGACGAACAAGCCTGGGTTCCCTTATTCTGAGTTGTGACGCCAGCTTTTAGCAATTATCAACCTCTGTGAAGGCATATTCTTGGATGCCTGTGGTAAAGCCCTGGGAAAGGCACGCCAGGCAGGTACCAGTCTCCCCACAAGCCGCAGAGGAGGGGTTGGTTGCTAGGAAACTGAGATTCTGCCAATCATCTGTCCAGCTCCCTGTGGGTGGGGCGCGGCTTGCTGCGTCTGTGGTAACTCAGGCTGCTGCGAAGAAGAAGGAGGCAAGAGGCGGTGAGAAACCAGGGACTGGGTTGGGGGCGATGGAGGTTCCTCGGGGGTACTATCTTCGTCCTCGTCCTCGCGGCTGGAGAAGGAGGAGGGCCTCCCTCAGTCCAGCCGAAAGGATGCAGGCGTCCATGGCTGCCCTTGATGGCGGGGGCGAGGACTAGACAGGGATTGCGGATCCGAGCGGCGAGGGGGCGATCTAGGTGCAGGAAATTGGGGGGTTGGGGGATGCTGTTGACTGCGTGCTGCCCTGTTGGCCTAGCAGATTGGCCTTTTTCTCCGTTCCCTTCGCGTGGGGCCCACTGGCCACCTCAGCTTCCAAGGACAGCTACTAGGTGCCATCCGCGAATGACTCCCTCTCCGCCATATTTTTATTTAGAATTAATTTTTCTTTCTTTTTTTTTTTAGAACGAAATTTTCAATTATTTTTATTTTAATTGCCTCTCACGTAAATGGAAACGCGACTATGGGCAAGTCCCCTTTATCGGAGCTATTGCTGGGCTATCGGTATCTGCAGTTTATATTCTTGGCCCTCGCGATCTGAAACTATCCAATTACGTTCGCCCCTTAAATTTATTTATCCCACATTTGGTACTACAGTCTGACGAAACGTAGACCACAAAGGTGTTCAGAGCAGCATTATTAGAATTGCAACAGTCAAAACTAGAAATAGTCTAAATGCTCAACCACAAATTGACAAATAAGATTATATAAGTATATAGAAAACTGTAAAAAAATAGAGTGCAAGAAATAGACTATAAAAATTGGATGAATATAGAGATTATAATTGAGTAAAGCATATGTATCTGTAATCATTGAAATTTGAAAAGGCAGTACAGACATGTAAATGGTTGCTGTGTTAAGGTTGGGTATTTTTCCTGAAATCTGTTATGCGTTAAAAATTATGACAACCTTCCCCCACCCCCAAGACCAATATGGCCTCCCTACTGGTAGTTAATTACCAAGATTTATAAATACACTAGATGGAGTGTTAGACTTGTGTTTGTTGGTCACTGTGTATATTCATGCCAACGTCCTTTCTGCTGAGAAGTGGTACTCTGCAGTCCTTCTAAAATGTCTTTGCAGCTTTCAAATTCAAGAACCACTGTGGTGATGATTGCAGGGCTGTGAACCTCCAGGCCACATGTGGCCCTCCAGATCCCCAAGTGCAGCCACTTAACAGAATCCAAATTTTACAGAGCAAATTCCTAATTCTGTAAAATTTGGATTCACTCAAAAGGCTGCACTCAAGGATCCAGAAGGCCACATGTAGCCCCAAGGCTGCAGGTTCCCCACACCTGCAACATTTTGTGGTATATACAGAGTTACTTGTGTTCTCTTTGTGTGATGACCTGCCTTGAAGCCACGAGACGTGGCACACTAACCAGAGCAGGAAAGGATAATGATGGTCTAGAGGAACTCAGGTCAGAGTATTAGTGAGGGTGTCTGTTCTGCCTTATTCGTTTAATTTGCCCATTTAAAGTAACTTCATTCTACCATCTCATTCATTCATGCTCCTTTTTCAGAAGTAGGTATTTAGTTAATCAAAACCCCACACAAGAACTTAACAGCAAAAACACAGCTGAAATGTAAAATTATTTCAATTAAAAAGTGAATAATATTTTTAGGTGGCATATTAACAGTATTCTCTAGTTTTTTACTAGTTTTGCTGCATTTAAATGAGATGCTGCTCTTTAGCTTTTGTGTTCAGATATAGGTGCACGTTGGAATTTATCTCTTTTTTTTAATGTAAGCAGAGAAAATGACTGCTGGTTCAGTGTGTGTCCCTCAGATCATACCACTGCGAGTGCCTCAACCTGGAAAAGCTAACCATGAAATTGATAACAACACACTACTGGAAATGAAATCGGGTAGGAATCACATGTATTTGAATTTGTTTAAAATAACATTGTCATATCCCTTGTGCTCATCTGATTACTGATTTATCTCTTTGTATGCATTCTATAGTTAGGACTTTGGGAAGTTTGTAAAACTTGCAAAATTTGAAACAGTGTTGTACTTTGATATTTTATAGAGTGGTATGTATTTAAATTAAAACAGCTTGCTTTGGCCAACGTTTGATTTGTATAGGTATGTAGTTGCAGCAATGCCTTGATTCACATTAGCCAAGGTAAGATGTCCCAGTGCTTCCCCAAACTTTTACAAGATGCTTGTTATTTAGCTTGGATAATAAATTTGACCTACTAACAGAGGCTTTTTTTGGTCAGACAGGTTAGAGATTGAATCTTGGCTTTGACTACTTCTAGTTACCTTGGGTGCATTACTTAGGCTTTTTCAGTCTCAGTTTCCTTATTGTAAGATAAAAATAATAATTACTACTTGGAGCCATTGTGAGGATTAAATGAGTTGGTATATATGTGAGGTGCACAGGGTTTGGCATATAGTAATGCCAAAATAAATCTTAACTGTTATTACAGAAATAAAGCAGTGAATTTCTATCTTGCTAATATTTATTCTTTAAACTCTTAAGTATGTTTATATGTATTTAATATATTTAATATACATATATAATTAACATAAAAAAGGAAATTTTATGGATAAAACATATGAAGAAATATCTGTATAAAAAAGACTTTGAACTTCCAGTTATATATTTTAATAACTGAAATGTACACAAACTATTTATCTGCATTCCTGGTTTGACCCCTGTGCTTCCTAGAGCAAGAGTTCCAACTAAGAATATGTTACACGGTACTATGTCCTCCTTTCTCTTAAAAGTTTATATGCTTTTTAAAAATTGTCAAACCTCCATAAAAATTTTAATATATGTGCCCAAAACATATAAGAGATGTGAATTATATGGTGTGAATTATATGGTGTCCAAATTCTCTAATATTTAAATATCAAATAAATAGATTCCACAATTCAATAACAAAAAGAATAATAACCCAAAATAAAAATGGGCAAAGGATGTGAAAAGACATTTTGTAGGAAAGGAAATATAAATGACTCTTAAACATATAAAAATATGCTTCTCCTCATCCTTTTCTTTAGCCCTTCTTCATCTGCTTGCTGAGCAGACTTTATCCCTGCTTAACTTACTCCACCATGCTTAATCAACACTTGATATAATGTATTTACTTGTTTATTTGTGTACTATTTCTGTGTCCTTCCTAAAATGTAATCTCCATGAGAGCAGGACTTTGGTCACTGGTGTATCCCCGGTGCCTAGAATAGTGTCTGGCACATAATAACTCCTCAGTAAATATTTGTTGAATGAATGAATCAATCTTACTCAAAATGTAAGAAAAGCAAGTTGAAACTACAAGATACTATTTTTTAACCTGGAAAATTAGCAAAAATAAAAGAAAGATGGATAACATACTACATGAGGGAGATTGTGGTTAAACAGATGCTTTCATGCATTGCTGGTGGCAGTGTAAATTACTTAACTGTCCATGGAGGATAGTTTGGCAATATTAATCAAAATTACAATGCACATATCTTTTGACTCAGCAATACTAGTTTCTACATATTTGTTTTACAGATATACTTACAAAAAGAATTCTTTACAAAGTTATTCATTACAATGCTTATAATTACAAAAGAAAAAAATAGACAGCCTAAGTGTCCATCTGTAGGGAATTGGTTAAATTATTATTCATGCATATAAGAGAGTATGATACAGCTATAACAAGAATGAGGAAGCTCTTTATGTGCCAATATAGGACAATAGCCAAGATATATTGTTACATGAAAAAAGAAACATGTAAAACAGGGTATGGTATGTCATTTATGTAAAAAGAGAGGGGAAAATAAGAATATGTATGTATATGCTTGTATGGATATAAAATATATTTTTGAAGGATATTCAAGATACCATTGGTTGCCTCTGGGCAGCTGGTGTCAGGGGTGGGAGGGAAACTTTTCATTGTGTATCCTTTTTTGACCTTTTGAATCTTGAATCTTATCAGTGCCCTATTTGGAGAAGCAAAAGAACATAGTTGTTCAAGAGCATGGGCTATGGATCCAACCTAGCAGAAGTCAAACCACAGCTCCTCTGTTATTTAGCAAGTTTCTTAATCTCTCTGGAAATCATTTACCTCATCTATAGATGGATATAAAATAAGACCTACCACACAGGGTTGTACAGATGAAATGAACTCAATTCATGTAACACACAATGCTAGCACAGAGAAAGAACTGAATTATCGTTAGTTATTACTATTCATTTCTACAATATATAAAAAACATCCTTAAATAACTGACCTATAGGCATTATTCAGGGACTTGCTACTTTAGTGTTAATTACAGTTATCCTATTTTGGATTTTTCAGACACCCCGGATGTCACCATATATTATACCCTGGATGGCAGCAAACCTGAATTTCTAAAGAAAATTGGTTATGGTGAAAACAGTACATTTAAGTATATAAAACCTATTACTCTGCCTAATGGAAAAATACAAGTTAAAGCTATTGCAGTCTCTAAGTAAGTTAAGAGCATGTTGATTAAACTGATTTATAATATAACAACATTATGTTCTAATTTTATTTATTTTTTTCTGTTAGAATCAATGCAGCATTAGAAGGACACTAATGAAAAAGTTATTTTAATTTCAGCATATATAGGTAACATTTGTGTTTTATTTGCCTTTTATTGAGGTATACCATAAAGTACACAAGTCGTAAATATGCAGCTCAGTGAAGTGTTATATGTATTAATTCTGTTTTGATTTTGAATTCCACATTGGGGTTTTGGAAGGAAGAGCATTTCCAGGGCTGGGGACTTCTAAAGACCTTCATCTAGCTTTGAAGAAAACACCAGGTTTAATGGATGGTTCTTTTATTCCTCAGAATGCAGCCTACAGTCACCACAGTCATTCTCTATTTCTTTTTCTATTGACTTAGTTGGCCTTCAAGGCTACTGTCATTTCAACTTGTTGGACATTAGCTGCCTTATTTTTTTGTTTATCCTTTTTTTTCCTACTCAATGACTTTTTCCCATTTTCAAATATAGAAACACCGCTTAATTTGGAAAACTTCACCATGTGTTGTAGAAAAAAACTCAAATGCTTGAAAAGTCTGTGTGGCATGTCCAGCATTTTATCCAGCAAGACAGGTTTGACCACATTTTGGTAACACATTTAAACCCCCAAACCAAATACAGCACCTGGTTTGTCCAGGTACTTTAAAAACACTCTCCAGGCTCCCCCTGCTGGCTGACCTAGTGTATGGCTTTTTGAGGAGCGCTACTTCTACACCAAAGATGATTGTTTTGACATCTGAAAATTAAAACAGTAATAAAACAAAATGAAATAAAACAACCCCTTTACATACATTCTTCCATTTTTTAAATGTTTTTGGAGACACAGTCTCCCTCTGTCTCCCCAGCTAGAGTGCAGTGGCCTCATGGTAGGTCACTGCAACCTCAAACTCCTGCCTCAGGCTCCCGAGCAGCTGGGACTACAGGCGCATGCCACTGCATCTGGCTATTTTTTTTCTATTTTTTTAGGACAGATGGGGTCTCGGGTCTTGCTGTTGCTCAGGCTGATCTTGAACTCCTGGCCTTAAGCGATCTTCCCACTTTGGCCTCCCAGAGTGCTAGGATTATAGGCATGAGCCACTCCTCATGGCCTATACATTATTCTTTATTAGATATTTGAATCTGCAGCCTTTTCTCACTTGCCAAGGCACTTCTATAGAAACAAGCCATCTCAATTTTTAAAAGAAGCTACATACTTTGGTGCCTAATGCTGTAAGGCAAGCCTTTTTAGAAGCTGCAGGTAGTAGTAAATGAAGTAATTTAATGACTGTGTCGTTCAAAGGCATTAATAAAGCTTTCAAAAGAGTCTAAAAATTAAGGTCATTCTTTTTTTTTTCACCTGTTTTTGTGTGTGTGTGTGTGTCCCTAGGTGGGTACAAAAAAATAAGGTCATTCTTTATGGTCCTCACCATTCTGCTCTGTGCCCACTAAGTGTCTATTCTGAAAAGTACTGTTGGTATTTCAAATGTGCTCAGCTTAGCGAAAATATTTATGCAAAAAATTTTTGAGTTTTCAACTCAAAAAATGAGTGCTTGTATAGATTTGCCATAAAATAATTATTTATGGAAATTGTACTGCTTCATTCAAGTCTGTTTTTAGGTACTTAAGGTAATTAGTTTCTTAATAGGAGACAAAGGACTTTATTTTTTATTTTTTTTTATTTTTTTGAGACAAGAGTCTCACGGTGTTGCCCCGGCTAGAGTGCCGTGGTGTCATCCTAGCTCACAACAACCTCAAACTCCTGGGCTCAAGCAATCCTCCTGCCTCAGCCTCCCGAGTAGCTGGGACTACAGGCATGCGCCACCATGCCCGGCTAATTTTTTCTATATATTTTTAGTTGTCCAATTAATTTCTTTCTATTTTTAGTAGAGGCGGGGTCTCGCTCTTGCTCAGGCTGGTTTCGAACTCCTGAGCTCAAATGATCTGCCTGCCTCAGCCTCCCGGAGTGCCAGGATTACAGGAGACAAAGGACTTTAAATGAGGTTATTAACAATTGAAGGTTGTTAACATATTAAGATGACATATTAAAAATTATGGTCCTGAAGGTTTGAGTGACATAGGAAAATATTTATGATATAATAAGTGAAAAAATTAGATTATTATATTATTTTAACTATGTTTAAAAATACATAGAGAAAAGACTGGAACAAAACATGCCAAACTTTAGCAGTCATTCATTGCCTCTGGTGATACAATCATGTATGTTTGCTTTTTTTTATAAATATTTTTACTAAAATATAAATTTATTAAAAGAGATAGTAATAAAGTTTTATTAAGAGGAGTAGTTACCAGAGGTGGAGGAAAAAAGTTTAAACACAAAATACTGATAAGTAATAACCTAATGTCTGGTACTAAAGTGATTTTTGAAAAACAGATTTTTACAAAAGGAGGGCAGACTGAGCCTACTGATTGTTTCCTGGTCCAGCCTATATCACTGGGCAAATACACTAGTGGTATGTATTCTAACCACCCCACCCACCCTTTTCAGAATCTGAGCCGTTGTCAGAGTTTGTCAACGTCGGTAGTTCAATGATAACCATTGGAATAGACTGAAACATGAGGGAGCATATATAATTTGTCAGAAAAGCAGAATTCCTTCTGTAGCTTTGGGGTTAGGGTTGCTAATAATTTATTATACCAAAGTGGGACAGTAATGCCCAAAGCATGGGTAAATACTAAGAGCCACACCAGGACATGAAAAAAAGGGATATATTGAGAATATGGCAATGTCCCCATAGTCAGGGTGCCAAGCCCAAATCAGCTCTGTATACATGTTAGTCTTCCAGTTCAGAAGAAGGGCCCCAAAATCATCCCCTTTAAGGTCAGGAGTCCCCTCACACCATCAGGTGTTTCCTACTCAGGAATGGGCAGACTAGGGGCCCAGGATCTGACTCATTTCTCGTGATTTCTGAAATACAAGTAAACAATTAGTGCACACAACTTGTGAGGGCTGGCAGCCTGGAAGTTTTTTGTTTTTAAATGTTTGTTTAATTGAGACCAGGTCTCATTTTGCCCGGGCTGGTCTCCTGGGCTGAAGCGATTCTCCTGCCTCAGCCTCCCCAGTAGCTGGGATTACAAGCACACCTGGCTGCCTGAAAGTCTTTTTAGGGTGAGCTGGCATGGTAGAAACCAGGAAACAGAGGTCAAAGCTGATGTTGCAGGGTCAGAGAAGCAGGGTGGGCCAGCAGACTGTCTGTAGGAAGGATGGTCAATGAATTCTGCAAAATGGGAAATAGATTGCTCTTAAGATGCTTTCCTCAGTGTGTTTTTTTCTTCCTGATAATTTTTGTAGCTTCCAAAATTTGACAAAGAGCATTACTTTTGTGATAAGAAACAAAGAGATATATAATAAATAAAGGCTCTCTGAAATTATCATATAACCCATGCTTCTCAGCCTTGGTTGCTGAATCAGTTAGCTATTGCTACATAATATAACCGCTCTAAAACTTAGTGCCTTTAAAAAAGAGTCATTTTATTTGTTCATTATTCTGTGGTTTAGCATTTTGATGTGCACTCAGCTTGGCAGTTCATCTACAGGTCTTGCCTGGGATCACTAATGTTGCAGTCATTTTTTGACTCATCTTGAGCTTTATGGTCTAAGAAAGCTTGACTCACATATGTGGTAGTTGGTTCCAGCTGTCAGCTGAGCCCTGTGTCTCCAGCAGACTATCCTTAGTTCTCACTCGGTGTCTCAGTTCCAAAAACAGTAAGAGAAAGGGCAAGCCCCAACCTGCAGATATTTTTCTAGTCTCTGTGTGTGTCATATTTGCTAATGTTTCATTGGCCAAAGAAAGTCACATGGCCAAACCCAAAGTCAGTGTGGAAGGGATTCTACAAGGGCATGGGTACTGGGAGGTATGGTGCATCATTATAACAATCCACCACAAGTGGACATTAGAATCACCCAGGGAGCTTTGCAGAATCCCTATCCCAGGCCACATCCTGACTAATTAAGTAATAATCTCTTAGGCTGGGACCAAGGCATCAGTATTTTTAAATTTTCCGTGTGATTTCAATATGCAGCCAAGATTGACAACAGCTGATATAAACCCATGGAAAAAATGTTTCCATTTATAGAAATTTGACTGACACAACTTTTTTTTTTTTTTTTGAGACAGGGTCTCGCTCTGTTGCTCAGGCTAGAGTGTAATGACGTCATCGTAGCTCATCGCAACCTTCAACTCTTGGGCTCAAACTATCCTCCTGCCTCAGCCTCCAGAGTAGCTGAGACTAAAGGCTCGCACTACCACACCCAGCTAATTTTTCTATTTTCTGTAGACGCAAGGTTCTTACTACATCACTCAGGCTGGTTTTGAACTCCTGGCCTGAGATGATCCTCCTACCCAGGGCTCCAAAAGTGCTAGGATTATAGGTGTGAGCCATTGCGCCCAGCCTGATACAACTTGTTAGAAAGATATTTTTATTAAAGTGTATTATTCTAGGATAAAAGGAAAAAGGACATTGCCATATATGTGCTTTAATGTCCCCATATATATGTCTGTGAATTCTACATCAGAGAATGGTCAGTGCAGAACACAGGTGGACAAGAAGGGCCAGGAACTCAGGACCATCTCGGGAAGGGGGAGGCGGTTGTCAGTCATTGATGGTCCATGCTGATGATCTAGTCCAGGGCCTGTAAACTTTCTGACATCTGCCTTTCTTCTTTAAAAGCCTCCTTTGTGGTCAGGAGCTTCCTCTCTCAAGATAATATCATTTTATACTGTTTTGGCAATGAGCTTACATGGTTCTTCCTTCTCTATCACTGACCTTACCTGGGCATCACAATAAATGAAGCTGGGCACAGGTAAAAGCTGTCTTATGTTACTGGCCAGGTCCAGGTCCATTCTGCTCACGCACAGTAAATCAATCACTGTGGAATGGATTTTGCAAAAGAGAAAAGATCTAATTGCAAGGCTACTGAACGAGAAGGTGGGAGAAGAGCTCTCAAATCCACCTCCCAGAAGATAAGGCTCAGGGATATTTATGGGTTAGGAAAGTGGGGTGGTCTAAGGCCTGGGGAAAGGTGATTACCAGAGGGAAGTAACAGGTTCCTTCTGTGCAAGTGTCATTGGTATTTGAGGTATTTCATAGGACATACGTACAGATAGGGCCGGCGTTAGCATGATCTGAGGATGGAGTTTTTGGCCCTCCGACATGAAAAGGCTATTTCTCGGCCTTTTCAACTTGCGCAGGCCCAGTTGAAGGGCTGGTGGTCTCCATTGGTTTGAACCGTCCTGAATTCCTGAAAAACAACTAAAGTGACCATTATTTTTATTCAATAGCTTTCAATAAGTTGGCAAAACCTGACCTAGATCATGTTGGAATTCCTACAGATCCAGCTTCATAACTTCCTTGCAATCATTCAAGTTAGTTCTGGTGTTTTATTTTATTTTTTTTGAATGAGAAAATGACTTTATTTCATTTTGTGGAGTGGGCAGCCATCCAGTCTCAGAACTTCTGGAATTGCTTCTTGGTGGCAGCTGCCTTGGTGACCTTGAGCATGTTGAAGCCCACCATCTTGCTCAAGGGGCTGGCACATGCCCACTGTGACAATGTTGCCCATCTGGATGTTCTTGAAGCAGGGAGACATGTTCTTGTGGTGTTTCTCAAAGAGATTGTACTTGCGGATGTAGTGGAGACAGTCCCGGTGGATGACAGTGGTCCTGTGCATCTTCATCTTGGTCACCACGCCAGACGGCATCCACCCTTGGTTGGAGACATTACCAGTGAAGGGGCATTTCTTGTCAATGTAGGTGCCCTCAGTGGCCTCTCTGGGAGTCTTGAAGGCCAGATATGCTCTTGTAGTACTGCGGGAGCTTCTCCTCGCCAGTTTCTCCTAGCAGGACCCTCTCGTTTGGAAAGGTGGTGGCCTGCTTTTGGTAGGCATGCCAGGTGTGAATGTCGACCATATTTCAGCCGCCTGAAGGAAAGAGGTTTGGTGTCTTACTGAGGGGCTGATAATCTTTGTGGGGATACAGCTATACTGATTTTTTTTTATGTCGAGTGTACTTTGTTGGTATTCCTCGATATATATCTTTAGTGTCTCTAATTCCAGCCCTAACAAAAGTTTACCTGTGTTTCAAATGCAGTTTGGGCTCTGAGTAGGATTTATAACTCCAACCACAAACCTAATCCTTTTTTGGGATTATAATCAGGATTAAATCCTTCTATTTAGCAGGCAGTTTAACCTAGTCTCTGGGCTGCTGTTGGCTGGGACAGAGTCCCTGGGTGAATGCCTTAGCTGGGTCCCCAAGGAAGGGCCAGCTGTGGTGGGGCAGACAACCTGGACCTTAGAGGGGCAGAAGAAGTGGACGAGAACCAGGCTTCTACTCTTGTGACCTCACTAGTATCATAAATGCTCATCCAGGGAGCGCAGCTATTATCCAGGAATTGAATGATCCCTGGATGGAGATGTTCATGCTGTCTGGGAAGTGTGCTAACAAGAAGGACAGTTGGATCTTGGATTTCAGCAGAATTGGGGTCAAAAGTGAAACGGCAGATGGGATGGATGCTGAGGTGAATGTGTTAAGCAAGTGGTTCACCTAAAAGATTATCTGTATCTGCATCCAGATTTATGAATCTATAAATATGGTGTTGTTATTTTTTTTTTTTTAAGTGCTTCCTGGCCTATTGTGGTGGCTCACACCTAAAATACTAGTACTTTGGGAGGTCGAGGTGGGAGGATTGCTTGAGGACAGGAGTTGGAGACCAGCCTGAACAACATAGCGAGACCCTGTCTCTACAAAGAAAAGAAAGAAAAATTAGCTGGGTGTAGCAATACGTGGGCATAGTAGTACATGCCTGTAGTCACAGCTACTCTGAAGGCTGAGGCAGGGGGATCACTTGAGCCCAGGACTTTGAGGTTGCAGTGAGCTATGATGACACCACTGCACTCTAGCCTGGGAGGCAGAGCAAGACCCTGTTCCCAAAAAGAAACAAATGATAAATGAAAGAAGCCAGACATGTAAGATGACTACATTTGTGTAATTACATTTATGTTAAATTTCTAGAAAAGGCAAAACTGTAGAGATAGAAAGCAGATCGGTGGTTGGCCGAGATGGGTGGTACTAAGTAGTGACTACACACAGGCACAAGGCAGTTCTTTTGGGTGGTGGAGGTATTTGGAAGTGGATTGCAGTGATAGTTGCACAATTTTATGAATTTACTAAATCTCATTGAACTAGGTACTTAATATAGGTGAATTTTATGTCATGTAAATTACACCTCAATAAAGCTGTTAAAAAAAATTTAGGTGAGCTACTGGTACTGAGATGAAATCAGCACTAGTTTTTAGTCACGGGCACCTCTACATTGTTCCATCATGGAATTCCTTTTGCATCAAAGAAGAACAAGATTGATTGTGAAATATTATGAATATTTGAAAACATGATAGTATTTGAGGAATAACAGTTACAAAATCTACGAGAGCAGCATATATTATGCTGCCAACACCTGAGATAAGGAAAATGCTCTTGACTCACATGGAATGATACCTAGGTAACTGCATTTTTTGTTTTAGAATAGTTTGAGCCTTATGGTACAATATGTTTATGATAAATGTGGTAGATAGTCTCCAAAAATGACCCCCAATGAACCAAGCCTCCCAGTGTTCATGCCCTTTTGTAGCCTTTCTGCTGACGCTATGACTTACTTTTGACCAATAGAATGCTTACTTTGACCAATAGAATAGAATGATGCCAAAGACTTCTAAGATCACAAGAAGTGTTGCAGTTTCTGCTTTGGTTTCTTGCAACATAAACAACTGGAGGAAGCCAGCCACTGTGTAGGAAGTTTGACTACCTGAGACTTCCATTCTGTGAGGAAGCCCAAACTAACCACATATAGAAGGAGGGACGGACGGAGAGACAGAGAGACACAGAGGCTGACAGAGCTAGAGAGATGACTGGCGAGCCCCTGGCTGTTCCAGTTATCCCAGCCTAGACTCTGCATATATGAGGAAAGAAGCCATCTTGAACATCCAGCCTAGTTGAGCCTTTGGTTGACTCCATCCCTGCTGATATCTGACTGTAACAATATGAAAGAGCTCAAATGAGAGCTGCCCAGCTGAGTCCAAGTGAATCCACAGAGTTGTATTTTTAAGGCACTATGTTTTGGAGTGGTTTGTTACACAGTAATAGATAACCCTGATGGAATGAGGTAAGGAATTATATTTTAATCTCTCCACTTTGAAATATAATAAATTTAGTAGCTAGACTAAGGGACTTTGATAAAGTCATCTTAATTGCTAGCCACCTTTTCTTTGACTTTGTGTAACACAGACTTTTTCTTTTTTAAATAATTTTCAGAGACTGCAGACAGAGTGGCATTGTAACAAAGGTGTTTCAGGTAGATGGTGAACCACCAAATATAGTCTCTGCAGAAGACAGTGTTGAAAATGTTCTCAAAGGTCCATTGAAGCAAGCGAGTAATGAAATGGTAAGATTATAATTATTTAGATTGTCCCTGTGTTCTTGGTTCCTTTTATCTCAGTAGGCACATCATCCCTGTCATTACATCACCTCTACTCACAGTCAGATCTTTTCAATAAAAGTCAGTATCAATCATTGCAGAGCATCTTCACTGATTTCTCAGCCTCTGGTCACTCCTGCATCTACCCTGAAGATTAGAATTCCTACCCGGTGTCACTGACCCACACTCCAGTGTCCTCAGTGTCTCTCTCTTACCTGCTGAAGAAAGTAGAACCCTTCAGCATGCCATCCAAGTAATCAGCTTCTGTCCTTGGTCAGCCTTTCTTGTTTGTCTGTATTCCCCCACCCCCCATATATACTCCAACCAGACTAAACTGTGCTGTGCTCTATCACTGCTACCCTGGCACCCAGGCCTTCTCCTTTTATAAACTGCTTTGAATATGGAATTGCTTCATTGTTTGTCTGTCTTCCCCGTGCACCGTGAGCTCTAAGGTGGCAGGGGGCATGGCCATTGTCCTCATTGCCTTGCACAAGGGCAGGCAAGAGAAGATGGCAAGTGTATATTTGTTGGATAGATGCATCAGGCTAGTAGAAGTCCTCAGTGGGCATAGACTTCTATTATGTTCAGATCTTTACCCCTTGTTATCTGCAAAGCCTTACCTCTTTGGAGAGTCAACTAGACCTAACTAAAAAGGATGTTTGAAACTTCAGTCCCTAGATGTGGGCATGAGGGAGATGGATTCAGGAGTAGGGCCAGAGGGTGGGCTAGACTGTGGTAAGGCAACTGACCGAGAGATCTCAGTTATTTGGATCTTGTTGGGAGCGACAGAGGAATTTTTGGGGGGTGTCCCTTAAGCCCAACGGTGGACCTAAAGCCAAAAGGGATGCTGTGGGACCAAAGCAATGGGTTCAGGCACAGGATGGGGCCCAAATGTGATCAAGGCAGGGATCTAGACTGGCAGGGGCAGCCAGCAGAAGCTGAGCCCACATGTGTCAGCAGGTGCTGAGGCTTGCAAAGATGAAGTCTGTGGAGAAGAAAGTCCAGAGAGAAGGGTGTTCAAGGACTGTGTGCAGGCAGGTAGTGGAGAATCCTATCTTGGTCTGGCCCCACCCTATCTTTGCCCCCTGGATCTGGTGGCCTATCTGTTATTACTCAGACTCCCATGATTGCAATATCCTGCCTACATGTGCTGCTTCCTCCCTCCTGTCTTGGCCATTTAACCTGGTGGGGCTACCATCCAGACGTGTTGCTACCAAGCAGCCCAGTCCACAAAGCTGTGTGTTTCCAGAGTAAAGTGAAACAGGGATCAATTTGTAAAAACTACTGTAAACACTTTCAAGTAAGAAATACATGCCATGACCCTGTCTCTGTCAAGGAACTTTTAATTTTCACATTATAAATGGGCATAATCAAGTAATTGATATGCCATATTTTATTCCTAGGAATTAAAAAATGGATTTGTTGGATCAAAACTAAAGAAGAAACATAAGAACACTGAAAGTAAACCTAGCTGGAATGTTAACCTTAGAAAGTTTCCAGGTACGATACGACAGAACAAGGCAAGGTTTAGTATTCTAAACCCACCTAACAGGTTTGCTGCATGTTTTCTTGTCCACAGAAGTGTTGGAATAAGAAACACTGGAATAGGAAAGTAGACTATACAATAATTTGAATTTTAGTGCTGTCCCAGCTAACAGTTTGAGACTGCAGGGGATAAATAAGCCATCCAACAAAGTGAGATTTATTGATTCATTTCAAAGAGGGAGACCACACACCAGGGAACCATGGACATCTCACCAAAAAGGAAAAGTTGTAGTTGTAGGGTTTGGGGGCGGGTGGAGTTTGGGTAAAATTTAAATGAAAGCAGAGTTTTGATAGGCTCAAAGCAAAGCTGGGCTGGGTGTGAAGTGGTAACATGAGGTATGGACTGTGAAGGGGAGTCAAGGTTCTTTTGCCTTGGAAACTACAAAGATGCACACGAAATGTTGTATTCAGAAACTCTTATCTTTGCACCAGGGTTGCATCTCTATGTTATAGTGACTTAGGTCCTCCAGGGAAGAGTTGAATGTTTTGTTCTTACTGATGGAATTCCAAACAGTAAAGTTTCTGATTATCTATGATTTTAGAGAACAAGGTTTTTTTCTCAGTAAGAAAGCAGTAGTCACTCAAAGAGGGGAATGTTAAGACATTTAACCACTGCAGTGTGTCCGTGGGAGGAATGTTTCCTGCGAATAACCTCGCCATTGGATTGATCTGTCTGTTTTCTCAGCCTCTTGTGGAATGTTGTAGAATGTAGTGTGGAAGATTATTTTCTCAGTCGGGACTTGTTTTTTCTTTCTTCATTCTAATTAACTGAGTGTGGTGTGGGTCTTCAAATAATTGTTATTTCTAGGGAAAGAGTGTGATGACAGTGGTCCTTTATGAAAAGGTTTCCAACTAGGAAGACATCTTTGTGTGATGGTATATAATTACAGATGCTCACAAAACAATGTTTTTAATATAATTGTAGACCTCGAAGTAGGTGAAAGATCTGACCCTAAAACTTTGAAAGATCTTCGCTTCTCAGGAAGTCCACTGGAAATCCCAGTTTACCATGAAGGATCAAGTTCTAGACCCTCCACACGCCAGTCCCAGGTAACTTCTACGCTCTTTAGTACCAAAACGCTTTCTATGTTTTTAATGCTTCCCACGAAATACTTGAAGATCGTCTCCTAGATTTTTGATCATGTACAAGGCACTGTTCCAGTGCTGGGAATACTGTGTTGGACAAGAAAAGTCCCTGTATTCATGAGGCTTACATTTTATTGGCGTTGGGGGCAGACAGATAATAAATAAGTAAATAATTAAAAAAAAAACTTAAAACAGCAGTAAGTGTCATGAAAAAGATGAAACTAGATGATGAGATGGAGCCATGGTTCTCAAAGTGTGGTCCCCAAACCCACAGCATCAGCATTGCATTGGAGCTTCCTTGAAATGCACATTCTCAGGCATGATGAACAAGGTGGGAGATGAGGTGGAAGGTGGCTAGGGCCAGAGAACCTAGAGTTATGGTTCTCAGACATAGCTACATGCAAGTTAGAATCACCAGAGGATCTTGAAACCAATCCCAGAGACCTAACCTCACAAATTCTGATTTAATTGGTCTGATATGGGTCTGGGCATGATTTTTTCTTTTTAAATACACCCCCAAGTGATTCTAATGGGTAGGCATGGTTGAGAGTCACAGATGCTAATCTGCCTGTAAGAAGTTTAGATTTTATTCTGGTTGTAAAGGGAATCTATCTGGACGACAAGATATGATCCCATTTACATTTAAAGTTTCTCTTCAGCCACTATGTGGAGATTAGACTGTGGAAGGAGAAGAGGGGAACACCAGTTAGGAGAATTTTGCTCCGGGTGAGAGATGACAGTGGCTTGGGCCAAGGTTGTAGAGGTGGTGAGGAAAGGAGGTGGTGGGATTCAGACGGGCTTGGCTGAGGGATCAGATAGATGGAGCAAAGGGAGAGGGGGAGCTAAAGATGGTATCAGAGCTTTGGCCTGAGCATCTGGAGATGATGGTGACATTGACTGAGATGGAGAAGATGCAAGAGAAGCAGGTGTTCAGGAGCTCATGAGACATCAAGTGGAGATGTTGAGTAGACTGTCAGATATGCAAGTTCAAACTCAGGGGAGAGGTCAGGGCTGAAGATATGTATCTGGAAATATTCAATATATAGGTGATGTTTAAAGGTTAGGTCTGAATGAGATCACTTGTCAAGGCTGTACAGAAAATAGAGAGTGGCACAAGACAAAATCCTCAACTTAGGGGTCGAGCAGGGGAAGAGGAGCCTGAAAGTATTAAGAAAGCCAGAAGAATGTGGTGCTATGTAAGCCAGGAGAAGAAAGAGTTTCAAGGAGAAGGCAGAGGTCATTTATGGCACTTGTTACAGAAGAGTCTAATTAGACAAAGACAGAGAATTGCATTTTGGATTTGACAAGATAGAGGTGATTTATGACCTTAATAAAAGCCATATCAATGCAGTCTCACTACTGTAACACAAGAAAGATGCCCTTACACTAGTTTTCTACTACTACCATTATAGAACTTTGAGTTTTTAGAGTTTATAAAATCCAATTTAGACTTTTGGCATCTAAGGGCAACCCAGGCGCCTTTGCTCTCTTTCACTTATCTGAGCCCCAAGTATAATGTACCTGAAGTCATGTTTTCTATATAACCACAGCTTACCATCACATATAAAGGAGGCACAAAGAATGGCTCCCAAATCTGGTTGTATATCAGAATCAACCAGGGGAAACTTTAAATATATGTATAGGTTCCCACCCACCAACTCCTGCAATCCTCTTAGATAGTCTGGGATGGAGTCCCCGGATGTCTTTGATGATCAGCCCAGTCTGAGAATAACTGGCCTAGAAGAGCAGTTATCCTTATCCCCAGGTCCAGCTCTTTCCTTCATTTCTAGACTCTAATGCCAAAGTGTAACTCAGCCTGACCTAGTGGGTTCTTCCATCTGCCTACCCACTATATTTTCTGGGAGACCACAAAGCCCAGGTCAGAGGAGAACACACCTGCAAACCCCACTGAACAAAAGGGCAACCATCCCTACAATGGAAGATTGCCTTTGCCAATCTTCTGGAAAGAATGATTACCTGGTTACAAAATGGACTAGTGAGCACACTCGACTCCTGTGGGCAGTGCATACCAGTGTGGCCCAAATATGAATACTGCTTTCGAGGTAAAACATATCATTTTGAAGAATGAATGGCATATGACAAAACACAATAACTACTTTAGGAAAACAGTCTCCCGTGATCACAATTATTTGTAATGTGTCTAGAAATAGTTATTTTCTTTGTGCATGAATATTTGGATTAGCTTTCCCACTTAGTTGTTTAAAAGTCGTTGTTTACAAGGGGAAGATAGAATAAAATAATATTTAAAGATTCCAGTTCAGAATCCCAAGAAACTAGGAACATAGGGACAAAGACAAAGTTTGGGGAACTTGAGTAGAGTTCAGAAAGCCAGGGAGTCCAGAAAAGGACCGTACGACTTTTTTCTTCCACTCTTTTTCTTCATATTGGTAAGAGATTCTTCTCAATATTTCAGCTCAATCCAATCTGAAGCATACTTCAGCCAATATCAGAATTAATGATTCTGGTGGGTGTTATGTCAGCAACTACTAGGGAGACAGCATGTCTCTGAGCTAAGCATCTGGCTTGAGGGTGTCTTCAGGGGCCAGGCAGCAGAGTAAATGTGTGCAACAGCCTGGACAGAGGATAAATGATAGCTGACACCCAGCCTTAGTGTGAGGGCACAAGGGTCGTAGGGTCTCTGACAATGTGGAATGCCCCAGCTAGGTAAAGGGGTCACTCTACTAAGCTCCAGCCAACCCTTGACAAGAAGGATTGCGGGCTCAGTGTTGCCACATCTGATGAATTTGCATGAGAAGCCAGAAACTTGCATCTTTATGTGTAATAACCTAATTTACAAATTTGACAGTTAGTTCAAATTTTGAAACACTGTGGAGGCCAGTATACATTGGGCCAAATGAAACTCTATGGAAGACCAGATTTGGCCAGAGGACCACGACTTGGCGACTTCTGGTCTAGGCCATGTTAGATGCAATACAAAAGCAGTGAAAAGCTGTGACTGCTCTCCATTGCCTGTAAGATAAAGTTTGAAGTCCTGAGCTCAGCACACAGGCTGTCAGGTAGGCCTGAGTTCAGTACACATACTGTCCACGAGCTCAAGCAAGTGACTCAGCCATTCTGAGCCTCCGTATCCTCATCTCAAAAGTGGGGATTAATTACATGAGCCTCTTGATGTGCACTGAGATGGACACAATATCATTTCTCTGGAATGGGTGCCAAAATGCACAGCTGAATCCAATTATGAGGAAACATCAGACAAAACCAAATTAAAGGAGATACTGTGAATTAACTGGCCTGTTAAAAATGTCAAGATCATGAAGGATAAAGAAGGACTGAGGAACTACTCCAGATTAGAGGTGACAAAAGGGACATGGCAACTAAATGCAGAGTGTGGTATGGGACTGGATCCTAGACCAGGAAAAACTATGTAGCTGTAAAGGACATCATTGGCATTGCTGATGAAGTCTAAATAAAGATCTGTGGAGTAGATAATAGTGTCACATCACTGCTACCTTTTCTGATTTGGATACACTGTTGTGTAAGAGGACAACCTTCTTCTTAGGACACACACACTCAATTATTCAGAAGCAAAGGGACATCATGACTGCAACTTATTCTCACTTGATTTAGAGAGAGAGAATAAAGGCAAATGGGGCAAAAATGTTAACATAAATAATTGGTCAAGCTGGGTGTTATTTGTACTATCCTTGCAACTTTTCCGTGTTTGAAATTATCTCAAAATAAAATGTTACAAAAATAAAATTGGTTAATATTACCTACCTCATAGGGTCCTTGTGACATGTCAAGGAGATAATGACCACAAAATGCCAGGCATATTTTACTACTGTCAGACCCTCCGTAAGTGTTAGCTTTCCCCATCAAGTTCCTTCTGCCTTTCTTTCTGTCCCATTCTCCTGCCACTTTAGACCACATCAAGCCCCCTGAGTCCCAGCATAGGCCATGCACTGCTCTGCCACTGTGCCTTTGCCACAGGGTTTCTTCTACTGGGAATTCCCTTTCTCTTTCTGTTTACTTGACAAACTTGTCTTTCCTCTCCCAGGCCCATCTCGGATGTTACTACCTCTGAGAAGCCCTGCTCCCCTGGAGCAAGTGAATGTGATTGTTCCCTCCTCCAGGTTCCCATGAGACTCAGCACAAATGTGTCACCCTACTGAACCCATTGTGTTTCAGTTATTTTATACGTACATGAGTTCAGCTCCTTGGGGGCAGGGACCATGTAATATTTATCTTTGTCCCCTTCCCTGCATCACCCACAGTGCCTGGTACAAAGGGGATACCCAAATAATAATGTAGTGAAGGAAGTTAAATGTTTCTGGATAACAGCCGACAGTTGATGCACGTATTCTTATAGGAGTTTCCTAGAGATAAATAATTTTTGAGAAAAATGAGTACTAACTTAAGCCTTTAAATTCTAAAATCTGGTTTGTGATGTAAATTCAGATCTTTTTTTTATTGTAAACACTATTTTTAATGAAATATACATATCTGATTATGAATAGCACTTTAAGTAATTTTTACATATTAGATACCAGAGTAATGATTACTTATGACCTTCCCCATAATTTTACTATACCATAGCCTTTACCATTGTTATATTGACTACATATCTATATACACCTATATTCTTAATTTTAGTCCCCTGGTTTTGCACACATAAGGAGCCGGAAGAGTTTGACCAGCACGGAGATCATGAGAATTCAGAGGGAGACAGACTTTCTCAAGTAAGTATCACATTGTCTTTACTCTGTCTTACATCCTACAAAGATGCATTGTGGTCAAAGAGAATTTAAAGATGGGACATAACAGTCATTTTGCCCCTCTCCAACTTTTTAAATTAAATTTTTACAGCTTTTTAAAAGGTATAATTGACATACAATAAACTGCATATGTATTTAAAGAGTTGATGTATGTTATGTAACCATGAAACTATGACCATAATGAAAAAAATGAACAAATTCATCTCCTCCAAAAGTTTCCTGTATTGTACCCGATTGTAAGTCCTCACTTTCACACCTCCTCATCCCCAGGCAACTTATGATCTGCTTCTTGTCACGATAGCTTGATTTGCATGTGATTTTCACATATCAGTAGAGTAATCCAGCATGTACTCTTTTTTGCCAGGCTTCTTTCTCACTCAGCATAATTATTTTGAGATTCATCTGTGTTTGCTTGTAACAAACATCTATTTCTTTTTATTACTGAGTAGTATTTCACTGTATGGATACACCACAATTTGTTTATCTGTTCACTTTTTGATGGGCATTTGTATTATTTCCAGTTTTTAATTATTACAGATAAAGTTGCTGTGAGCATTTATACAGGAGTCGTTGTATGGTACATATGCTTTCATTTCCCTTGGGGTAAATGCCTTGAAGAAGAATGACTGGGTCATATGATAGGTATATGTTTACCTTTTAAGAAGTGACCAAACTGTTTTCCTGGATTGCAGGCCACCACACCTGGCCCCTGCTGAGAGTTTTCTTTTTAAAAAATCAGGAATAGATGTTGAACTTCATCCAAAGCATTTTCTTCATCTATTAAGAGGATCGTATGATTTTTCTTTTTCAGTTCATGTGGTAAATTACAATGATTGATTTTCAAATGTTAAACCAACCTTGCATTCTTATGATATATCCACTTGAAATATTATCTATTTTATATATTGTTGAATTGGATTTGCTAAAAGGTTTTGAAGAATTTTTTGAATGCATATGAATGGGTGATTTTATTTTCTTGTTAGTATCTTTGGTTGTTAGTATCAAGATAATTGTGGCCTCATAGAATGAGTTGGGAAATATTTTCTCTCCAGTGTTCTGAAAGAGTTTGTGTAAAATTGGTGTTACTTTTTCCTTACATGTTTGGTAGAATTAACTACACATTCAATTTCTTTAATAGATACACATTCATTCAGGTTTATCTGCTACTTTTCGAGTGAATTTTGTGTTTCATTTGCTTCTCTTTTTTTTTAGTTTCTTTAATGGGAAGATGAAGTCATTGATTTTAAGCCTTTTTTTGTTTCTAATATAAGCATTTAGAACTATACATTTCCCCAAGGACTGCTTTACCTGTAGCCCCCAAATTTTGATATGTTATATTTTCATTTTCATTCAGTTCAAACAGTTTCTAATTAGCATCATTATTTCTATTTGACCTATGGGTTAGTTAAAAGAGTTCTGTCAAATTTCCAAATACGAGGGAATGTTCCTTATATCTTTTATTTATTTATTTCTAATTTAATTCCTTTTCATCAGAAAACATATATTGTATGATTTGATTGGCACATATTCCATGTGCAGTTTAAAAGAACATGTATTCTGCTAGGATGAGTTCTATAAATGTCAGTTAGGTTGTTAGTTGATAGTATCACTTAAACCTTCTCTATCTTCACTGATTTTGTTTATTTTATAATCAATTATTGAGAAAGCGATATTGAAATCTGTGACTGCAATTATGAGTTTGCCTGTTTATCCTTTGCTGTAAGTTTTTTTCTTCATGTACTTTGAAGCTCTGCCTTTAAGTACATAGACCTTTAGGATTCTTATGTCCTTTTGCTGAATTGACCCCTTTATCATTATGAAATAACCTTCATTAGTCCTAGAAATACTCTTTGCTCAGAAATCTACTTGGTCTGATGTTAGTGTTGCCACTCCTGCTTTCTTTTGATTAGTGTTTATATGATGTGTGTATGTTTATATGTGTATATATTAATATACATAAAATATAAAATAATGCACATATATTTCCATACCTTTACGTTTAATCTATTTGTGTCCCTATTTAAAGTTGGTTTCTTGTATGTATATAGTTAGGTCTTGCTTTTAAAAGATCATATCTGACAAGCTCTGCATTCTAATTGGGGTGTTTAAAGTATATGTATTCTAACTGATGCCCCATTATTACATATGAATTTTTTTACTTTGGCTGGTGTGAGCATGAACTTCTCAGCTCTGTGTGAGGCCTAAGGATGTTTCCTTTGCTCCCCTTTGGAGTTTATTTTCTGGCCTTGAGTAGTTTCTTCCAACACATGCACTGGTCAGTAGTACTCATTTGAAGACTTGAGGATGACCCTCTGCAAAATTCTGAAGCTGTCTCTGCAGTTCTTCTTTGGTATTCTGTCCTAAAAACTCTAGTTGCTTTGACTTTCTCAGACTCCCAGATCTATGCCCTCAATTCATATAAAAGGAATGAGATAGGTTACTCCATGAATTGTTGAGTAACACTTAGTGAGCTTTGGGCATAAAAAGTAGGAAACTGTTGTTGTCCTGGTAGGTGGACCCAGGCAGGAGACATGGTGAAATCTTGGCAACATGGTACAGTGAGCAAGGACTGAGTAGGATAAAGAGTGTGGGAAGTGAGCTCAACCATCAAGGCTGGTAATTGTTGGGAGGCCATGGTGGAGATTAGTGTAGTCAACCAGGCAATCTAGTACACAGTATCTGAGCATCATAGTCACTGGGGAGCAGTTCATATCAATAGGTGACAGGATCATGGCCCAACCTGCTTGGAAAGACATGGCAGCAGCAGTGTATACACAGGGCAGCCTAATTCCGAGAATCCTTTCACTTTGGCTGACAGCCGGCATCCAATTGGGTGGGTAGGGGCTAAATGATGGATTCAGCTGCCCAAGAAATGGGGCAGATGCTGCTGGAACAGGGCCTTGGGACTCTAACCTGGTAAGCAAAGAGAAAGGCAGGGCTGGACCCACAGTGACCCTCCAGAGTGCCAGGCAAGAAAGAAGATCTGTCCCTTAGACTGGGCTCAATTGCAGGAAGTCAGAAAAGTGCAATGTAAACATTAGTGGAATTCCCAGGGCTCATCCTCACACATAGCCACAGTCAGGAAGTACGATGGGCCAGGCCTGCAGGAAAAGGACACCAGGGATTCCTGCCGTGAGGCCATTTTGTAATAAAATGACCTAGAGAAGCATTTCTTATCTTGAACTTGTTCCATAGCCATTGAAAGTGGTCTGCTTTTGTTTTGTCTTTAAAACTGTTAGAATGCTTTTAAATTTTCACTAGTCTTGTTAATGTCATCATTAATCGGCAATGTCATGGCCAGTTGGGAACCTGTTTTGTTGTAGGTGTGCCTGTTGCCTTGCCTCTCGTCCATCTGATCCGTTTGCTCGCTTCTGTCAAGAATGTGGCTCTCCTGTCCCGCCCATATTTGGCTGTCGTCTCCCACCTCCGGAAGGAGCTCAGGTGAGCAGCAGAATTCTTAAAAATACTTTTCATTGTTGATCTGATCTTTATTTGCAGCAGTGCCTGGTATACATGAACCACACACATATTAATAAATACTTGTTGAAAGAATCGCTGGCAGATTAAACTCTTATTATCCAGACTCCTGCTTAAGGATGGAAAAACTTACTTGCAATGTTATATCTTTTGTGTGGCCTTGCAGATGCACAGGCTCAGAAAGAGGTTGAAATTGTGTTGTTTCAATGAGGCATGCATAGATAAATAAATGTTTACTATCTGTTTGATATCTTTGCTCATAACCTGGATATAATAAGGAAATATATTCTAGAAATCATAAATGGAGAGAAGTACAAATTACTTTATATCTTTATATATCTGTATAACCATAAGATGTATCATTCTGTCCAAAGAAGCTATAGATCATTATATTTAAATTTAAAAGCTTTGGCTGAAATAATTTATTCTACAACACCCAGCATCATGTAGAGGAGGAAATTCAAAGACTTAGGAAAACAGGAATGTTGGAGTCAGTTTATCTTGTGTGTCCTATAGGCCCCTATATTTCACAAGAAGGCCCAGAAAGACACTTCCTTCACTAAGATATTGAAGAATACCTAAGTCAGCGTTGTACCTGCATCTTTAAAAAGTTCCATGGCTGCTTTCCTTTGTAGGCCAGATATGATCACAGGGGATGCTGCTGTTTAGATGGGTTCCCTGATCTCAGTGGGGCTAACAGGATTCCAGAGTGGCAGAGGTCAAGGAGCAGCACGTAACTACCAAAGACAAGGACAGCAGTGACATTTGAGTAAGCAGAATCTGATGATGGTGTTCCTAGGAATGAAATAAGCAGCCTACTACTATATTTCTTGGTCTATATAATTGAAAAACACTAGATCTTATAGCCAAAAACTGACTTAAGTTACTACATTGGAGCATCCGAGTTTCTCACTGAGTTTCCAGACAATAAGCCAGTTCACAAACCTGAAGTACCTTAGTTGAAGGGGAGATATGTACTAGCTTTGCAAGTTCATTACATAAATCTTCCTTGAAGCCTTTCCCAAAAGGATGTGTTGCTTTTGATAGAGTGCATTGGGAAAAGGAAATGCCCAAACCTTTGGGGGATTGTTAGATACTGGCTCTGAATTCATACTAATTCTTAGAGATCTGAAATACCACTGTGGTCTACCAGAAAAAGTTGGGACTTTAGGTGCTCAAGTGATAGAGGGAGTATGACCTCAAGTCTGACTTGTAGTTTTTGTTTCATATATTTTGGGTGTTTGTTTTCATGCTTGTACTGTGGGCTGAATGTTTATGCCCCCTCAAATACCTATATTGAAATCCTAAACTCCAAGGTGATGGTATTAGGAGGTAGGGCCTTTAGGAGGTAATTGGGTCATGGTGGGCCCCTTATGAATGGGATTAATGCCCTCTACCATGTGAGGGCACAGCTAGGAGGCACCATTTGTGAAGCAGAGAGCAAGTTCTCACTAGACACCAAATTTCCTGGCACCCTGATTTTGGACTTTGCAGTCTTCAAAACTGAGAAATAAATTTCTGTTTTTATAAACCACCCAATTTATGATATTTTGTTATACTAATAGCAGCCGAACAGTCTAAGACAGTTCATATACATTTATAATTGCTGTATCTTCCTGATTTATTGGCCCTTTTATCATAAAAATGTCTTTTCTTTCACTCTAGTAATATTTCTTATCTTAAAGTTCTTTATTCTCTGATATTAATCTTTATGTAGCCACTCCAGTTCTCTTATGGTTACTATTGGGGTTGTATATCTTTTTCTATTGTTTTACTTTCAACCTATTTGTGTATTTGAATCTAAGATGTGTTTCTAATAGACAGCATATAGTTGGGTTTTGCTTTTTTGTCCATTCTGACAATCTTTGCCTTTTGAGTGCGGTGTTTAGTCTGTTACCATTCAATGTCATTATCAATGTGGTTGAATTTACATATGCCATTTTGCTGTTTGCTTTCTATTTGTATCATGTCTTTTGTTCCTCTTTTCCTCCTTTGCTGCTTTCTTTTGTGTTAAATAATTTTTAGTGTGTCATTTGAATTCCTTTGTTGATTTTTTGTACTATTTTTAAAGTTGTCTGGTGCTCTAGAGATTGCAATATGGACCTTAATTTATCACAGTCTATTTCAGAATAATTTAACTTAATTCTACCAAAATACAGAAATTTTGCTCTAGTAAATCTCTGTTTCCTCTTCCTTTATCTTTTATGTAATACGTATTACTTGTATATTTATATACATGTAATAATTTTATGTGTTATACAGCTATATGTGTTTTAAATGGAGAAATGCAGTGTTATACAATCTTATGTCATTTAAAGACAATGCAAAAAACTGTCCATGGAGTCATTTATATTTACCCACATGTTTATGATACCTTGTCTTTTCATTTCTTCCTGTGAACTCAGGTGATCATTTCCTTTAAACCTGAAGGATTTCCCTTGATATTTCTTGTAAGACATGTCTGCTAGCAATTTCTGTATGTCTTTGATTCTCTGAGAATGTTTATTTTACCTTCACTTTTGAAGGCTAGGTTTGCTATATATATATAATTCTTATTTAGCAGTTATTTTTTTCTTTCAGCCCTTTGAATATGTCATTCTACTGCATTCTGGTCTCTATTGCTTTTGATGTATGTGATAAGTAGTTTTTTTTATCTTGCTACTATAAAGATTTTGTCTTTGACATTCAGCAGTTGGATTATAATGTGTCTAAGTGTGGATCTCTTTATATTTATCGTTCTTGGGCTTGATTGAGCTTATTGGATCTGTAGATTAATGTTTTCTTTTCCAATGTGGGAAGTTTTTGGCTATTATTTCTTCAAGTTCTTTTTCTGCCTCTTTCTCTCTCTCCCATTACACATATGTTTGCTATGCTTGATGTTGCTCCACATGTCTTTGATGGTCTGCTTATTTTCCTCAATCTTTTTTCTCTCTGTTCTTCAGATTGGATTATTTCTATCAAACTATATTCAAATTCACTGATTCTTCTTTCACTTCCAATCTGCTGTTGTGTCCCTCTGGCGATTTTTTTCATTTCAATTATTTTACTTTGCATCTCCGAGTTTTGATTTAGTTCTTATTTTATAATTTCTACCTCTTTATTGAGATTCTCTGTTCATCGGATCATTATCATATTTTCTTTAATTTTTTAAACATGATTTCCTTTAGTTCATTGAACATTTTTTATAATAGCAGCTTTGAAATCTTTGTCTGCTAAATCTAACATCTGAGGACACTCAAAGACAATTTCTGTTATCTGTTTTTTTCTGAGTATGAGCCACACTTTCTAAGTTTTGCATGTATAATATTTTTTTCTTGAATATTGGACATTTTGGGTCACATATTGTAGCAACTCTGGATTCTGACTTTTCCCTGTGAATTGTTGTTTTGTTTACTTGTATTAAATCTTTTTTTTTTTGAGACAGAGTCTCACTCTGTTGCCCAGGCTAGAGTGCCATGGCGTCAGCCTAGCTCACAGCAATCTAAAACTCCTCTTCTCAAGCAATCCTACTGCCTCAGCCTCCCGAGTAGCTGGGACTACAGGCATGCGCCACCATGCCCGGCTAATTTTAGTTGTTGGCTAAATTTTAGTTGCCCAGCTATATTTTTAGTTGTCCAGCTAATTTCTTTCTATTTTTAGTAGAGACAGAGTCTCGCTCTTGCTCAGGCTGGTCTTGAACTCCTGAGCTCAAAGGATCCACCCGCCTCGGCCTCCCAGAGTGCTAGGATTACAAGCGTGAGCCACCACGCCTGGCCTGTATTAAATCTTTAATATCTGTCTCCCTTGCAATGTGTGGCCACTGGTGTCAAGGTTTTTTTTTTGTTTTTTTCTTATTTTTCTTATTTTTATATTTAAGCCTGGAGTCACCTTTGGGTCTGCATATCTTAGTGTTCAACTGCAGATTGGCCAGAAATTGTGCTTAAATACCTTGAGCCAATAAGGCCGCCATTCTCTGCTGATGGAGCTGTGTGTAGGCTGGGTAGAACATTCAAACATCAGGCTATTTTCAAGTCCACCCCAGCTTTTACTCTATGTTGAGCTCTATTGCATCTCCATGTGCATTCTCCATCAGCCAGGGATGTGGGGTGGCTTGGGCCCACTATGGTTTATACTGTGCATGTGCAGAGCCTTCAGTCAGCTAAGGATATGTGGCAAGCTCATCAAGTCTCTGTAGTTAAATTACCTTCTGAAACTCCGTGTTAGACCCTCGGCCAGTTTGCAGGTCCATTGATTACCCCAACCAAGTCCATAATCTCAGACTAATGGAGTTGCTGGTCCTCCCTGTTTGCTTGCCACTGAGATCGTCACCTTAACACTTCAAATCGAGTCAGCCTTGTCCATCAGTAGCCATAATACTGCTGATTTTCACAGCTTGCCCTTCCCTGTTGGAGCTACCACACAGATAGAACTAGGGGAAGCAGCCCCAGGCAAGAACCACACAGACTTGTAGTGTTCTTTTCTTTTCTTCTTCTTTTTTAATTTTCTATAGCTGTATTTTTTCTTTCTTCCTAGTCAACTCACAATAAATGTAGTGTTCTTTTCTGAAGTTCAGTCATTTTCAGGAACTTTTCAGTTTGTTGTCTGCCCTTGGTTGACTTTCAGAGTGCTGAAATGGTTGATTTTTGACAACTTTATCTCACTTTATAATTGCTTTTCAGGAAGAGGATTTATCGACCTACTCATTAACTCATGCTATTATATAAGTTAATTTCCTATGGTTATTTTTTCTTTTTAAAACACCTTTCTTTTCTACATTACACACGTTTTTACTCTTACTAGGAATAAAATAATAATAAAAGTAATTATTTTTTATTTTATTTTTTATTATTTTAAATTGACACATATTAATTGTACATATTTATGGGGTACAGAGTGATATTTGACCACTATCAAATCAGATTAATAAGCATATCCATCATAAAGGTAATTATTTAAAAGTTGTTTTACAAAAGCAAATTAAACCTTACATACTAAGATCTACTCATACCTTTGGTTTCTGCATTCCAAGACAAACCTGGCCTTTTCTTTTGTGCAGAGGGGCTTATGTACAGAATGTGGAAACATGGTCCCTATGAACACTCCCATCTGTGTGGTGTGTGAGGCCCCTCTTGCTCTGCAGCTGCAGCCACAGGCCAGCCTCCGCTTGAAGGTAATGAAATGTGATTCTGTAGAAACATGAATGAAATACATAGAAAGTAATGTTTGAACAATTATATGCCCTTCCTCAGCTGGTAGAATGGGGTAACAATGAATAAACTAATATGCAAGGACAAAATCCATTCTAATTTTTGGGAAGGTAAAGATTTTAACTTGCCGATTGGATCTATAATGTTAAAAGAGATATGTGGTAATGTATTCCATGAACGTGGATTTGGAGGACAAATTGCATTACAGCTAACTTAGACAATTTTTACTTTATATGTTTAAATGTCAATAATTGACTTATAATATTGTTATTAAAGTGGCTTCATGCTTTTTGTTTGCTTTATTTGACTATGGGTCCCTATTATGTAGAAAAAGTGATTAGGACTAGTCACATGGAAGAAAAAGTTACATATAATCACAATATTCAAAAAACTTTGCTAGATAAATGATATCATACTGTGAAAAAATTTTTGGTGGAATCATTGAACATACAACTGTATCTTTTCTCCATTTTTTCAATTTACAGTCCCACTTACCTCCTCTTTAATCCCAAGTAGAGGATAAAATAGATTTAATAGAGGGAATTTGGGTGATAAAAAAATTCTAGAAATTTTGAAGAACCGGCTGGGCCAAAGTCAGGTATATGAAAATTTACTAAACTTTTTGTTAGATGAGTATTTTCAATCTTAAGAAACTTTAAAAGCTACCACAGGAAGCCACCATACAGCCCTAGAAACCTGTCTCCAGACTTCTTATATATGAGAGGGAGAAATCAACTTTTCTCTTATTTAATCCACTGTTATTTTGAGTGTTCTGTTAATCACAGAAGAACCTATTCTTATTAATACATCTACTCAGGATGTTTGAAGATAGTATTATTCCAAACTCTTTGGACTATATAAAACTGGAGGAAAAGGGGTGAGTGTCATGCCATCTTTGGTATTTGAAATATAGAGTTCTTTTCATTCTTTGGGAAGACAGAGAGATGGAAAGGTATTAGTAAGTAATTTTTCCCTTCCTTTGTTATAAATCCTATATTGAGGATGTAAACACAGAATTTCTTTAGTGATTAGTAGAATTAAATCCAGGAGTGGTCCCTTTCTTAAAGGGCAATTTTTATGAGAAGAGAGATGGTCACTTGCAATTTATTTCTGTTCTATTGGTGGGCAAAAGTTAGAACATAAACCTTATACTGAGGAAGCCAACTAAGAATTCAAAGATGAAATTTAGAAAGTCAAGCCTGCTTAATTTCTGATGTTGTGTTTTCAAAGGGAATTATGGATTTTGAAATTATTGGGTAAAAAAGCTTCATATAAGCGAAATATTCCTGGAATTTGGTACAGCTTTGATAAAGAGCTTTCTCAAACATGTATTTTTCCAAGATCATAGGAAATAATGACTTAAGATGTCACTCTTACTAATTTCTCCAGAAGTGAGAATCTCATGATCATTTCTATTGCACTATGTTTGTCCCTAGTGTTTTATTTGTTTTGGCATAGGATTTTTATGATTTACTAAAAGATATAAGATATAAGTATATATGTTATACTATTGATAATTAAGAACTTAATTGTATCTCTTTCACCAAAACATTTGAGTCACTGTTCTTCTTTTTTGATTGGAAACTTAACCACATACACAGTATATTCTGTACCCTAAGAATTTGTTTGAAGAAGTCTAAACTCCCAGCAATGCCAGGATGGCACAAGGAGTGGTGTGAGCCTGAGAAAGTCTCTGGATACCTGCTTTAGGGTCCCTCGGGGAAGAGATCTGAGGAAGGAGTGAGGTCTCTAGGCCAGGCCTCCAGTGGTCACATGGCACTTGGGCCTTGCCCCAGGCAGTTGGCATTCCTTACCATGGGGTGGCCATGAACTTTCCTTTAGGTTCACCCAATTTCTCTGGGTTCTGCCTTACACTTATACTGTCAGCCCTCAGGTGCTGAGGGGCTTGAATTTTCAAAGATGTCTTTTTTTTTTTTTTTGAGACAGGGTCTAACTGTGTTGCCCGGACTAGAGTGCCGTGGCGTCATTCTAGCTCACAGCAACCTCAAACTCCTGGGCTCAAGCGATCCTTCTGCCTCAGCCTCCCGAGTAGCTGGGACTACAGGTGTAAGCCACCACACCCAGCTAATATTTCTATGTTTAGTAGAGACGGGGTCTCACTCTTGCTCAGGCTGGTTTCGAACTCCTGAGCTCAAACAATCCGCGCGCCTCGGCCTCCCAGAGAGCTAGGATTACAGGCGTGAGCCACCGCGCCCGGCCTCAAAGATGTCTTTTGACTTGACTTTTCCCCGTCATGCTGCTTCCTGGACTACTCTGTAGGGCTCTGCACACTGCATTCCCCAGGCTCTGACTCCTAGACTCACCTCCTCCTGCCTGGATTCAGTGGCCTGGGCCCCTGCTTGTCATGGCCATGCTGGTTGTGGTGGTGGTGGTAGTGGGGTACAGAGGATGAATTCACTAACTCTGTCAGGGACCAGGGCCAGGGTTGGCTTTGAAGAAGAGGTGGCATCTGAACAGATACTGGGGGAGGCATAAGTATTTGCCTGATGAAAAAAGAAAGGGGCTCATGTGTATGCATTTATGGGGGGGTCAATGGAGAGAGAGGATGTTCCAGGCAGACAGACAGAGACTGGAAACTGCAGAGTGTGCTTCAAAGTTTGCAAGCCGGTTGGTTTTGCTGAGCTACAACAATGCTGGGGTGCTGTGGATTGTGAGAGATGCCGCCTTCTCTACTGGACTTAGTAGGTCGGATTTTTCCTTATGGGTCCTGAAGTGTTGAAAGCAGGGACAGGTTTTAATTAGACTTGATCTGTAGAGAGACTTTTATCATGTGATCTCTGTTCCTAAAGGGAAATACCTAATTTTTATGTTGGACAATTAGTATTGCTACTTCTTTCTACTCATGGAAGGACAACCGTTTGGGAATCCTGGTGTGACAATCTTCATTTCAGTGCTTTTCCCAGATGTTACAAGGGCGACAGGTTTTAAGATAACATTCTTACCTAGGCAGTCACCTCTGAGCTCAGTGGGAATACCCCTATAAGCTACTCAGGGAAGCCAGTAAGCCTCACGTCCCCCAAGGCAGCAGCATGCCTGTTGACGGGTCCCTCCTCCCCTTTCTGTGTCTGTTTCCATCTCATTCCTGGTAAAGCAAAAACAGCATCTGCCCTCTTCCTGCCACTCAACTGCTGTTGCAATCTTGTCTTGTGTGGATTGAAAGGCTTTGTCAACTCTGAGGAGTTTTGCTCTATCGGATGTTTTTTTATTGCCAGGATTAAAAGATAAAGTAGTAGTCATGTCTCCTCTTAACCTCTGGCAAAGGTACCTATTTCAGAATAAGAGAGGATTTTACAATTTAATTCTTAAATTAATACCTATTTTTTATAACAAGTGAAATAATCCGAAAAATACAAAAAAGTACATAATTTCTCCACCTCCACTTCTACCCCTGCCCCTGCCAAAATAACCAATGTTAGCATCTCAGAGTATTCTTCTATGTATTTTTCTAGATTTACAGAAACATATGTATTCACACATTTAGATTTGGTTTGGTTTGTTTTTTAAACAAAAATGGAATCATGATATACACATTTCCCTGCAACTTGTTTATTTCACTTAACAAATGTATCCATTGGCCATTTCCTAAGTTGAAGACTTATCTTAGCATACCCTTTCACCATAAGATATTAACTTTCCTTTAGCAAAAGGAGATACTTCCGTTTCCTTTGGGCTTTAACTAGCAACATGCAGTATACCTCTAGGACTTTAGTCTTATTTGGGGTTCCTAAATGTGTGGCTTAGGGATGGGATCCTTTTGAAGTCAACACTCTGGGGCTCAGTTACCTCCTATGAGGCCCAGAGTCTCACACAGGGATTTGGGGCTAAGGCCAGTGTGATCACAACTCTACATCAAGTAGAACTTTAGCTTAGTATCTTACAAAGTCAATTTTGAGATAAACTTTGCAGTGACATGTACTAATTTGTTTCTAACATTCTTCCTCATTTATTTTGCCAATTAAAGCTCATCATTTGGGAGTTTGAATATTGTTCTTGTCTTCCAACTGCTTCATGAGGGAAAGTTTTTTTTTGTTTTTTTTTTTGAGACAGAGTCTCACTCTTTAGCCTGGGCTAGAGTGAGTGCCGTGGCGTTAGCCTAGGTCACAGCAACCTCAAACTCCTGGGCTCAAGTGATCCTCCTGCCTCAGCCTCCCGGTAGCTGGGACTACAGGCATGAGCCACCATGCCCGGCTAATTTTTTCTATATATTTTTAGTTGTCCAATTAATTTCTTTCTAATTTTAGTAGAGACGGGGTCTCGCTCTTGCTCAGGCTGGTTTCGAACTTCTGAGCTCAAACAATCCGCCCGCCTCGGCCTCCCAGAGAGCTAGGATTACAGGCGTGAGCCACCGCGCCCAGCCCATGAGGGAAAGTTTTATCTCAGTTGACTAAGTTGGGTCTATTAAATTCCTTAGAACCATTCAAGTAGATATGTTGCAAATGCTGTGGATGAGATGGCAAATGAGGGTATTGACCTTTTTTTAAAGTCCTAGTCATAGGTGTTTAGCATCCTTGTTAGTGCCATCTGATGGTGGTCACAATCTCAAATCACCCCTACAAAAATCTGTGAATTTATGAATGTAGTGGGTTGTAATATAAAGTGATTACTGACTGTGGGTCGTGGTCACTGCTCTAGAAGGAAGTGAGCTAAGGCGTGGTGTCAAAAGCTTCCACAAAAACCATAGAAAAATGTGTTGACCAAGAAATCTATGTTTGGTGGACCTGATGCAGTAAGGTAGACCACCACAGATTCTTCGTAGTATCTCAGAAGAGGGAAAACAGGGAAAGGTATTTATAGGACGTTAGTGCTGGAATCGGATGATTTTTTTAAAGAGTTTTTTATAAGATTGAACCCTAATGTACACTATGGACTGTGGGTGATAATGGTATGGCAGTGTAGGTTCATAGATTCTAACAAATGCACTAATCTGGTGTGCGATGTGGATGGTGAGGGAGACTGGTGGGGGGACAGGATATATGGGAACCTTCTGTAATTTCCCCTCAGTTTAGCTGTGAACCCAAAACTGCTCTAATAATATAAAGTTTGTTAACTAAAATTTAAAAATAATAGAGAGTTTTGCAAGGCATGGCTGGGATTGGGAAAGTTTGGATTGGGCATAATCATGACATACAGTTTTAGATTGTGAGCCCTGCAGGGTGAGGATCTTGAAGGAAGCTGTTGAACTTTATAAGTAAACAATTTTAGTTGGGTTCTAGTGTTCTCTTTTTAGAGGAAATATTTCCTGCAGCATACTACAAGATTGTTTTTGTTTGATCTCAGTATTTTTTAACACGAGGATAGGAAATTCGTCTCATTTCTCAATGGGTTTTACCAGAACTTTTCTGAGGCAATTATCTTCAGGAAGGTTGCAGCCCTAAATTTCACGGAAAAAGTGCTGGCAATTTGCAGATTATGCTATGGCAACTTTAAGTAACTGAAGAATGTTGGCCCCAGGGAGTGCCAGGAACCACTGAGAGCACGACCGTGTTTCTCTGCTACTTTGAATAGCAGTCAGCCTGCCTCTGCCCTTTGGAGTTGTCTAGATTGGCCACTGTGGTTTCCTGAGTTGGCTCAGGTTCCTATGAAGACTTGGGAGTCTTCTACTAACAATGGAGTTAACCAGACTTTGAAAGATTGGGATTTCATAAAGCTACCTAGTGGTATCAGAAATAAAACTACAGAAGTTGGGCTTTCTTTTACTTGATCATCCTCTTTACCTGTAGCAGTTTCAGAACATACTATTATTACTTTCAGGACACCTAGAAACCAGCGTCTTAGAATAGAAAGGAACCCTGAGCATCAGTGATTATTGTCAATTGGAAAAGATAGTATCCTGAAAATACAGAATGGTCCAGTGACTAAACAGATGTTAGCAAGCCTCTGCTAGCTGAGTTCTGGTTAGACTATTTTAACCATTTCTTTTTTTTTTCCATGTTGCAACTTAACCCCAGAGTCCCTATTCAAAAAGTTGCACTTACCATTCCCTTTCTAAGGCAGTCTTTCCACTCCTTCCATTTCTAAGTGAGAAACTATAGAGCAAACCTAAATTCATGTTTAACAGAAAGCCCTATGGGGTAACCCCCGAACCCCAGAACCAGATTACTTATAAACACAGATGATCTTTTGCTGGTCTTTCTGCTTACTGTTTAAGCCATGAAATGGAGAGCCTACTACTGACTATCCCATTTTCCACATTGGAAACAAACAAACAAAAATCTTACACATGATCAGTGTAAATTTTTCAATTTGCTTTCCCAAGACCAAATGAATACTCTTTTCAGTGTGTTTGTTTGTTTGGGGTTTTTGTTTCTTTTTTTTTTTTTTTTTTT